CATACTGTACTAAAGAATTCAAGAAACCCTCAGATCTAGTTAGGCATATCAGAATACACACACATGAACGTCCATACAAGGTAACTGACATCCATTTCACACATCTAAATTAAAGCCTCATGAAGTATATGAAAGTGTGTATATTAACCTTTAGTGTTTTTGTTTCCAATTTATGGGAAACCATTATCTTGTGTAGCATGTATCTAGTATGGAGGATAATTATTAAACCCAGTTTTTTTTCAGTGCACTCATTGCTATCGGTCATTTGCTGTCAAGTCCACGCTTACAGCCCACATACGCACGCACACTGGCGTCAGAGACCACGTATGCTACATATGCCTCAAGAAATTCTCTTCATCAAGTAGTCTTAAAGTTCACATAAGGTAATCTTTTGATTTATTATGTTACCTACCCATTTTGTCATTGTTTACACATAGTTTGAATAATCATCAGTATTATTTTCTGAGTTTGTTTGGATATATGAAACTGAAATGGTTACTTCTTATGCATTATTGATGTTACAAATTACTTCCTGATGTCTTAAGAAGCCATCTTGGTGCAATACAGATGTTTGTAAACATACCACTCTTATGTAAGCCACTGGATTTCAGAGTGCTTTTGTTTTTCGACAGAATGCATACAGGTACCAAACCATTTGCCTGTCAGCTCTGTGACAAGACATTCCGAACCACAGGACACCAAAAGACTCACATGTTGTCTCATACCAAAGAAAGTAGTGGAACTTCTGGAGAAAGAGTTACAAAGCGGAAACTGGTCAGACAGAAGCCTACACTTCCTGTCTTACCAGAAGTTGCATTGCAAGAACCAATTATTATCACAAATAATGGCAAGTATTTAGAGACCTTACACATTAATACCCACAGATGAAATTTTATGCTGTAGTTTATCTGTTTGCTACCATTAACACTCTTATTGTATCTGTTCCCACTTTTTTAGTACTGTCTTTTGTGTATTTCCTCTCACATGGTCATTCTAGTGTCCATGGTCTCTCAGTTGACCATTTATCTAACATATTCATTTTTAAAATTCTCAAGGGAATCTTATTTTTATGCTTGGATAAAACATTTTCATCATTCATGGTCTTCCAGTACCTAATCCAGTACTGCCTAACCCCTGTAATTGATACATTATCAATTAAGTAAACAACATGTGCTTGACAAACATGTTCTCTCTTCATATTTAGAGTCTACATAAATGAAATTACTGACCGAGATTCACTGTTACAGGATTTGTACAAGCTGTAGCCCGAAACAGCACTGTTTTCCTTCCTGGCAACACTGTGAGTTTGGATCGTCCATATGTGTGTAATGTGTGCAACGCAGCATTCCGTAAATTAAGTCACCTCAAACAGCACATTCGCATGCACACTGGTGAACGCCCATTCAAGTGTACCCTATGTGACAGGTAATGCGTTCAGTATTACTTTATGTATTTTTTTATTTATGTTTTATTTAATGAGGCTGTCAGTAGCTCAGGCTACTGAATTATAGGTTGATTAATGACCTGGAAGTGGTCATGGCCAAAGGTAAGGTACTGGACTAGGTGTTATGTCAGTAAATGATAATATAAACCATGAATAAATAAATATGTTTCTCTTGTTCTTCTCTTCTTGGGTGAATCAATTATTGAAAAGCCTACAGATAACTCTTATCTCTCTAGTAATGTTGTTATGTTATGTTATGTTATTATAACAGGCGCTTCATATCAAATGGGGTACTGAAAGCTCATCAGCGAACACACGAGGGAGTAAAATCGTACAAGTGTCATCAATGTGGTAATATGTTCTCTACAAATGGAAGCTTGAAACGGCACATGAGTACACATAGCGACTTGAGGCCCTTCATGTGTCCATACTGCCACAAAACATTCAAAACATCTGTTAACTGCCGCAAACACATGAAGACACACAAACATGAATTAGCTTTACAGGTGGGTAAAGCTGTTTTCTGTAAAACATTAAGTGGTTCAGAGTCTCCATCAGACATTTAATAGATATTCAGCTATGTGAGATTTGAGGTTATCATGTTGATGGAGATGTTCATGTTGTTGTTCTGCACAACTGGGTTGTAGAGCCAAGGAAGAAGAAAAAGAAGTATCCAGATGCCATTAGACTGGTTAATGTACAAGTAAATTCTGTAGTGCAGTATCCAAGTGTGTATTCTTCAGGTACTTGATGTTGCTCACTTGTCACTTTTGATACATAGTAAGAAAGCGTGTAAAAATTGCCAAGTACACAAACACCAAGTTGCAAGTAAGTGCCTAATACACACCACATGTAAGTATGAGGCAGTTTAAATTGAATTTTACTATGCTCTGTTGTGTTAGATGCATCAGAAGTTTAAGTAGTTTTAAGATTGTTGTCTTCTGGGTTGTTGTGCCGTAAAGTCTGGTACGTGTCCACCAACGTTTCAGAGGCCCATGCTGCCTCCATCATCAGGGCGATGAATTCAGTCTACATGGTGCAACAACCCAGAAGACAGCAATCTCAATTCTGTCTTTTCAACACTGTTGACTCATAATGGTTCTATCAGGTTGCACAACAAACAGCTAAAGAAGGAGAAAGAACAAATACACTTAGCAGTATACCAGTGGATGGACAGGGTCCTGCTGTTGTGACAGAAAGTACAAACTTCCCTCCTGAAGGTTTAGGTCCAGACTTTACTCAAGCATTTTCAGATCAACCGTTTCAAGTAACATCAACCACTGAGCATCAGGAGCAAGAGGAAGTAACATTTGCTCAGAACACACTTGTTCATACACTTGCTCCTGGTAAGTATGTTGTCAGCACTGTACATAAAATATTTTTTACCAATTTTACATTGTAATTTGATAAATTCAAGGTACTTGACTTAGAAATGTATTTTGATGAAAATAATTACCACATAAAGGTATTCTGGTATAAACTGAAACAGTATCTCAAACAAGAGATTATGGAACAAGAACTTAACAGTACATACATTCCTCCTGATGCTTTTGTCTATATGATGAGGCTAGCAATGACTGTACAATTTGGTGATTAATTTTGTATTTAATTTCACTAGTACATTTTATTTTGACTGCAATAAATTCATCCAGCACAACATCAAAATTCATTCATACAGGATTTGCTGATATGTTTGATCTTTAATGGTATAATGTTCATGAAAACTTGTCCATTGATGTGAGACTTAGTGGTTAGACACACACACAGACATATGATCCCATAAGCTCCACTTTCTGTAGAACCTGTATCATTAAGACATGTCTTCATGCTTAATTAGCATGGTTGAAGATATGGAAGATATGTAGGGTTGAAAGTATAGCTCTACACATTATACGGAGTGAGTGGGCAGTATCATGCCCCACTTGCTTTACTCGCAGAGGAACACTCCCTGCTACCCATTGGATAGGCAGTTGAAGTCTGGGCATGTTATGTAGAGAAAACTCCTTACCCCTACCAAGAATCAAACACTGTACATCCAGCCCACTGTAAACAAGCCTTAACTACAGACTTGTTATTATCGCAGGGATTTGCACTACTAATGGGTTAGCATTAATTATTGTCTTTGGCTGGTATTTTCATTTTTGAGTAGAAAATGCACATATTCTTGGTATAATGAAGTATTTTATGGGTTCTTCTTCCATTTAGATTCTCTGGTGGATGATGCTGAACCTGTAAACACTCCCAGTGTGATAACACACACATTGCATGCTGATGCCACAGGGACCATCACATTACCAAATCTTGATGGGCAACATACCTTGACACAGGTAATAACAATATATATGTGAGTATGAAGATTTCTGTCTTTTGGGTTGTTGCGCTGTTTAGTCTGGTAGATGCTAACCAACGTTTCAGAGGTCATACTGCCTCCGTCATCACTCTATTCACAGTCCAGCTCCTATAAACCTAGCCCCACACACCCTATTGGCATATTCATCGCAACAACCGAGAAGACAGAAATCTTCAACAATATATATAACAGAAAAGTACTTGACTTTCAGGAAAAAAAACAACTCATAATTAAATCCTATCCTGAGCCAGTTTACATATTTACAACCTCCAAATTATATCTTTACAACATCTAAATCCATATTAGCTTTATCCTTTCTTCTATACCTAGGTCTCCCAGATGTCATTCTTGAGGTTTACAAATTAGAACTTAGTATATGGATTTATTAAATATTCAGGTATGACCATATCAGGATTAATATTGTATTAAATAGGAAAATATTCCGATGAAAATAAAGTGTATACCTAAATTATTATATTTATGCTGCTAGTATGGCATGAATGAGATAATTTCACTAATCTTAGATAAAAAGTGAGATACAGTGACTCATAATTGAAACCCAGTCACTAATCACAATTTTAGTATTATTACATGGCAATTGTTTGGAGTCCATCTGCTATTTATGAAGTTTGTGTTACAGCTACACTGTTATATGAACCTTGTTTCAGTTTACAATTTCAATTTAAATATTAGACACCTATTTGAGATGAGACAACTTATAACAATTTCTGTGCTAATACCTGGCTACTGTTTCTAGTACCCACTAATTATTTAGGATGCAGTCACTGTATTTAAACTCCAATACTTCTTTGAACAATTAACAGATTAAGTGTTCATGGTGGTATTCATATTTTTCTGCATATAACTAAGCATGAAAAATGTAATCTTACATTTTAAAGGTTTTTTGTCAGTAAATTCAGAAGTATCAACCCTTCTCTTTGTCACACTTGATAAATGGTATGCTCATTCTAAATATGAAACGGTGTCTATTATATACATGGAATGTTATGTGTGTTTAACTATACTCCTAACCTCATATAAGAAGGATGTGTATTTCAGGAAAATATCCAGGAAATTGAGCGTACACTGAATGAACAAATTTTTGGTCCATCTACAAATGTAACATCGGATCTTGTGAATGTTGGGGAAGCATCCAGTGATCTGGCCACAAGAATCGAAGTTGGAGGTAGTGACAGTGAAGCTGAGTCAACCACAACAGAAGATTTAGCACATACTCTTGGAGCCACTGCTTCCCCATCAGGTCATCCTGATGCTTCAGCACTAGGCACTTTGTCAGAGCAACCTAAGGTTGATGGCAGAAACAAGAGTTCGGCAGAACCACCCAGCAATGGCAGTGTGTTTGGCAACACTTTCGATTCAGCAGGTTTTGAGTCATGTGTCTTCACAGCAATGACTCTTCAGGTCAGAAACTTGTTATATTACACAATAAAAAATATTCTGTCAATTAAAATATACTACTGGAACCTTCATTTATTGTCCCAATGTAAGTATTTATGAGATTTTAAGGCTACATTTTGCTTATCCCAAGTCAAAATATTGGTTCTAAATTTCTTATATTTAAATTTTTCCCTATTTTAATGATTTCCAAATAAATCTTAAATTGGAATTTTATTGTATGATCAGTCTGATTTTGTGTGATGACATAAGGAAAAGATCAAGTGTACTTATGTATTACTACTTAACTTGCTACCTGGTAATAGAATGCATACATTCACCATCACTAGTACTTAACTCCCATTGGACTTGATCCTTTGTCAGATTAATCCAGTCTATATGCATAAGTTATCCTTATAAAATGCTGCATGTTTCTTATTTTTCACATCATTAGTACTTACCCAGGTCAGTGTAACCTTAGTTTAAACTCCCTAACAACTCTAGGTGACTTGTACAAATGTCAACATTTCATCCTCTTTCTCACTTGTTTCTTCCTTCTGAGGCCCAGATATTTTACTGAGACATAGGAGACTACGTTTCATTGCAATATAGGACTGGGAAAATAATTGTGATTGTATTTGATAATAATCATGCTGTATCTGTTCATTGAGTACTTCTCATGTGCCTTTCAAGTGGTCAGCATACTACTTCCACGACTGTTAAAAATGCACATTTATTTGTTTCATTCTTTTTTTCAGAGTGATCCCCTGGAACTAGAAGGCCTAGGGTCAGGCCCTGCCATAACCACCAACATGGCTAGCATTCTCCCCCCACCTGAGGGTGCAATGCCTGAACCTGAAACTGCTGCAGCATCTGACTCTACTTCTAAGCCCGAACTCTTAGCAGAGCTACCGATGGAAGGTCCAGTTGCTGCTGCTGCAGTGGCAGCAGACGAAGCAGATAAAGATAAGAATTACATTCCAGGAAGACCTTTCAGTGCAGACAATCCCCCTGGTGAACGGCCTTACAAGTATGTAAACGTTCTGCATGTTAATATGTAGAGACGACATTTGGCAAAGCATCAATTAACTTTTTCATTTACAAGATACCAAGGAGATGACATTTGGCAAAGCATCCTTTAACTTTTTCATTTACAAGATACCAAGTGTTGTAGTTGAGTGCTTCATATTTGGGAAGTCTTGGATTCATTTCTTAGCGAGAGGTCACTTGTCCTGAGGTCTTCATCAGTCCTTCCTGGCAAATGCTGAGATAGTATTTTAAAATAGGCTGTGACTGAGTCCATTTCCTTTCTTCCCAGTTCATCATTCACAGTCATCTTCCCATTTATTACTAAATAACCTGAAAAGTTGACACAGTTTTGTTAAGTAAGCTAAGAATCAGTCAATTGTTTGTTTGTTTGTTTGTTTGTTTGTTTGCTTGCTTGCTTGTTTGTTTGTTTCTTTTTATTTGTTTTTATTTTTTATATACGAGGGTCGCTCATTAAGTAATGCCCCACATTTTTTTCCTCAGAACATATTTATTCAAGATGGCTCAAATTTAGTGACAATATAAATCAATGTTTCCTTTACACATACTATTTTTCCACATAGTCCCCATCAACTTGTACGGTTTTACGCCAGCGTGGAACAAGTGCATGCATGCCTTGCCGGTACCAGCTCTTGTCCTGTGCACGTAGCCATGTCCTCACTGCTTGAATCACGCTCTCGTCATCTTCAAATCTTGTTCCGCGGATAGCATCTTTAAGGGGCCCAAAGAGATGGAAGTCGGAGGGTGCCAGATCTGGACTGTAGGGGGGATGGGGTAGCACCGTCCAACCCAATTTGGTGATTTCTTCCCGGGTTCTCAGACTTGTGTGAGGGCGTGCATTGTCGTGCAGGAGCAAAATTTCTGCTGGATGCTTGTGAGGCCAAACTCGTCGAAAACGCTTCTTGAGGGTTTTCAGGGTCCTGATGTACGCGTCTGAATTGATGGTCGCACCTCTTGGCATCACATCCACAAGAATGACCCCATCACTGTCCCAAAAGACAGTCATCATGACTTTTCCGGCGGAGGGAGTTGACTTGAATTTCTTCTTTCTCGGTGATTGAGGATGATGCCACTCCATTGACTGCCTTTTTGTCTCTGGCTCAAAGTGGTGTATCCAGGTTTCGTCACCTGTAATGATCCGGGACAGAAAGACCTCTCCCTCAGCATCAAAACGCTCCAACAATTCAGAAGAAATCGTTTTCCTTTGAATCCTGTGGTCTGCTGTGAGACTTCGTGGAACCCATCTTGCGCACACCTTCGAATATGCAAGAGCCCGGATAATTGCAATTACACTTCCATTGCTGACTGAAAGCTGTTGGGCCAATTGTCGAGTTGTGATGCGCCGATCCTCACGAATAATGGCATCCGCGCGGTTCAACAGCCCAGAGCGCGGCAGATCACGGAGCTCGGTTTCTTCACTTCCTGAAGCTTTAACTCTCTTAGCCCCGCGACCAACGGTGCTCCTATCGACTGCACAGCTTCCATACACAGCACACAAACGTTTATGAATGTTCACCACCGTTTCTTTTTCAGCAACAAGGAATTCAATTACAGCTCGTTGCTTGTAACGAGAGTCGTTCACAGACGCCATTTTAACAGTTCACTACAGCTCCGCTATCGGTTGGAATCATTTGAAACTCCGTACACGAACGCGGGAAACATCAAATCTCAAGCATGTAAAAGTGCACTTTTCTATCTTCATTATTGGCTGAGAAAAAAAATGTGGGGCATTACTTAATGAGCGACCCTCGTACATCTGTTGAATGCTCTGCATCTCTACATTTTTACATTTGCAATAAACAGACAGAGTTAGGTGAATTTGGGATAGCTTAGTTAGTAAATTGACTGGATGTGATTTAGAAAACGTCAATTTGATTTCTGGAAGGAGCGAATTTTTCTTTTTCCCATTATCTCCAGCCTCCTTACAGTGGGTAGTGTGCCCTGATGATAGATGCAACAAGCACCTCTGAAATGTTGTATTTCTACCAGACTGTATAGCGCAACAACCCAGAAGACAGCCAGCCATTTTCATACTCACCACCACAGCAACAAAAATCGAGGTGCGGATGACACTTTGCCCCAGCGTTCACCACCACTAGAACCTGAAATCTCAAAAATCTTATATGAATTTTATTTCATGATGTAGATTTTTAATCTTTTGTCTTTTTTCCAGATGCAAACAATGCAGCCGTGCATTTAAGAAGTCATATCATCTGAAAGAACATGCAAGAAGCCATGTAGGAAAGAATTTAAGCTGTACTTTATGTGGAAGAAAGTGTACTACCTTTGGTGCTCTCAGGGTAAGGAAATGAAACCATGATACAAAATATAATAATAGCCTCTAGATTCCTCATTGACCGTGTTATTTTATAGAGATATTTTGAAACTAAGCATTTGTATTACCTAGTAGGAGTGACTTTCAAAGTTGGTTATTTGACTGTACAGTTATTTTATTACTGCTGCAATATTTCCACCCCAAAAATTGTTTCGTATTTCTTCCGATGTCATTCGCCTATTTCCGACCTTGCTCTGTTGAGTGTTATTCGTGTTTTAGAGTTTTATGTGAAGTTCACTTTTCATTCTTTACTTTTATGCACAGTTGATTGGATTATGTGTGTGCATGTACATACATATGAAAACTTCTTATTCTAGGCTCATATGAAAACACATGATGGCAGTAGAGATTATGAATGTGACCTATGTGGTTGTCAATTCACAACAAATGGTTCACTGAAACGTCACATGGTTGTCCACAGTGATGAAAGGTACTGTAAGCTGCGAGGTAAAAATATATTAATGGTGGGAAGAATGAGAGTCCTTTGCAGATCATGAAAGAAATCATTGAACTAACAGATGGAGCCACAGCCTTCTGTATATATTATAACAGAACTAAGAAAAACCTACAGGATACAGTGTGCACACTCATGCATGCACTTGACAGTGGGCTAACACAACTCACCATAAAGAACTTGCAAATTAAGAAATGTTACGAGGGGTCTCAGATTTGGTGAACACTGTAATGAACCGTTTGGTTCCATGAAAGGTAAAGAATATCTTTGGTAACTGAGCAACTATTAGCTTCTCAAGAAGGACCGTGCTCCATGGAATCAGATGGACACTTAGAATTGAACAAGTTATTGGTAGAATTTTACCTTTGACATTTGATTCACCACCTGTGGATATACCAAACTAAGCCATTTCCTGTTCAGTTTCAGTTTGGTACACAGATGTTTTAAAGTATAAATAAAGCCTAAAGAAGTGTTTAAAAAATAATTTTTAGTATTTTCTAATGGTTTTAAATTTGAATATGTAAGAAAACTATCATAAACACATTTCAGTGAAAACCTATTCTTAATAAAAGTAGAAAGCGAATTTATTGTGTAGTTTAAAGGTAAAAGTTACAGACAGCACATCTTATCCATTCTTCTGTGTGTCAATATTTCACAATTATTTAAAGATGATCAGAGTTGCCAAGTGTGTCATAAATGTTTGTATCAAAGTTCTGTGTGCTCTGAGCAAAGGAAGTTTGAGGACAATGTATTAGACTTTACTATCTGGAATTTCTTTCTGTGTAGGCCACTAAAGTGTTCTATCTGCGATGCAGTGTTTCGGACTGACCATCTGTTACGCAAACACATTAAACTTCATGAACCAAGAGAGAGAAGGGGGAAACTGGTTGCAACCAATCTAATGCAGCCACCACGTGGACGTCGACGTGCGGCTGTCATCCGACTCACTGCAGAAGAAACTCAGGTTCTAGCACAACAACCCCTTGACAATGCAGCCACTGTCTCGGAAAAAGTGCTGATTGCTTCTGTTGCTGAGAAAGATCGCATTAGTGAACTGAAGGTATTGGCTTTACTGAGAGAAAGATCAGATGGATGGATGCTTTTATTATTAATTAAGAGTACATCTTTCCAAATTTTTTCCCTTAGGATCCAGAGCAGCAGTATAATATGGAACCAATTCATCCGAACCAATGCAAATACTGCCCAAAAAGCTTTCGAAAGCCATCAGATTTAGTGCGTCACATTCGAATCCACACAGGAGAACGCCCGTACCAATGTGCTTGCTGTAATAAATGCTTCACTGTCAAATCAACTTTAGACAGTCATCTCAAAACACATGGAGGACAGAAGCTTTTTGCTTGCCATGTCTGCGGCTGCCTCTTTTCCACAAAAGGAAGCCTCAAGGTTCACATGCGTCTGCATACAGGTTTGTCCTGCTCCTGATATATTGCCAGTAATTTAATTAACCAATATGTAATAAGTGACTATTATCTTTACTAGAAGAACCTTGTACCATGGAGTTAGTTACAGTATTTAACTATTTTTTAAGGAGTGCAAATAATTTGTGACAGTTTACAATGACTAGCAATAACATATGATCATCAAATGACCAGTGAAATGCAAAAAGAAATGTTAATTATAAGCTGACATACAACTGTAGGAGCATTTTTAGTGTGTCAGTTATATCAGCATACAATGGGAAAGGGTTAAGCTGATTGAGGATAGACATTTGTGACAGTGTTTCCTTACAAATTTTTCTTTGTTTTTGCGTGATTTAGGTGCCAAACCTTTCAAGTGCCCACTCTGTGAGATGAGATTTCGTACATCAGGTCACCGTAAAGCCCACCTTATGTCTCATATGAAGCATGCAGCTGGTGATGGCAAAATTCCATCTCGGCTTACCACAACTGCACGTCGGAACAAGCGAGTTCCCGAGCAGGAGCAGCAACCGGATCAGGCAGAGGAATCGCAGTTGCAGAATGCAGCAACCAGCACTGCATCGGAGCTGGTGACTGAAACTATGACGCACATAACACTGGATCCTGCTACACTGAGTAGCCTGATACCAGGAGAACCATTCAGCTCCTCATTGCTAACCACAACAGCTGATGGAAATCACTTTATGGGAAACTTCCAGTTACAGCTGAGTGATGGTCTACAAATAGCAGGAGTGGATCCCTCTGGAACACTCCATTCCTATACCACACAGGCTATCCAGCTGGATGAGGCCCTTCTGCAGCAGCTCCAGGTATTGTAGTTCATACATCATGAAAAACCAACAGTTTCGTTATCTCATTTCAGCTTCCAGCTGTGGAATGTAACAGTTCTTGTCTAATTTATTGGCCCCAGTTTGTCTTTCAGAGAAGCAAGAAATGTTTGTATAAAACCCATTATTAGTTATTAATTGTTGTTGCATGGATATATAAGAAGATGGTCAAATGCCAATAACAGAACACGTTGTGAATTTGTTTATTTTTGTGATAAGATATTTTGTTCTTGTGATGCACAGGCTTCAAACATAATTATCCAAACTACACCAAGTAATGGCCATTTGCAAAATCCGGCAGAAGAGGGCCAGACTGTTGAAGATCAGCAGCAGCAACACGACACTGTAGATGCCAGTGCAGAAATGTCAACTGTCCGCTTTGAAATCCATACAGATGAACATGGACAGATCATCAATATTCAACCAGCAGTGCTGCAAGGAATTCCTTCAAGAAATGGTAGGTCTCGCTGCTATGTATACTAATAAGATATAACCTTGTCCTTCTTCAGTTTTACCCTCAGGTTCCTAAACTCCAAATTTCTTCCTTGATAACTCATAATAATGAAACCCATGTTTAAAATTATATATTTTTCCAAGAATTTCTCACTTATACGCCCTGTTCTCACCTTGTTATATGCTATCTTCAAAACATTCTTCAGAAATAATTTCCTGTTTGAATATATTAAAGTTTAAAGTCAGTTTCATTTAATTAAAACATTTTTATATTGTGTTTTAAGCAGTTTTTTTTTACATTTTTTAAATACACACTGTTTCAAAAAAGTCTTAAGTAAACTTTATGGTCCTGAATCCTTTAGTTCTGGAGGTCTTGGGATGCAAAGACAATAATGGCAATTTAATTTTACAGGAGGAGATATAACGTTTGATCTGACAGGTGGGTTGGATATGGAAGTAGTGGAAGGAGACCAACAAGCTCAAGCATCTCGCTTCCGTGTTACAGACAGCAGAAAGGAGCGGCGGACTCTAGTGGCTATTGGAAACCAGTTATCTAGTGGACAGAAAGATAAGGAATGTGAGGACTTCTTGTTATTTCATGATTGTGCTACGTGTGGAAAACATTTTTCAAAACCCAGCCAATTAGAGCGCCATACCCGTATTCACACTGGAGAGCGTCCATTTTCCTGTCCCCTGTGTGCTAAGACATTCAACCAGAAGAATGCACTCAACACACATATGAAAAGTCATACAGGGGAACGCCCTTTCCCTTGTCCCTACTGTCACTATTCCTTCACCCAAAAGGGTAACCTTAAGACGCACATGCGACGCGCCCATCAGTTCATTTCCTTAGAGCTAGGTACAAACTCAGCTACGACATCTACCACTTCTCCTTCCACTCCTACTCGATCATTGCTCAAACCCAAGCAGCAAACCACGCTAGATCTTGAGAAGGTTGTAGGAGATTTGTTTCCACAGATGAGGAATACCGCTCCTGCTGATCCTTGAATTCTGCATTGCAATCACCAACATTAAGTACAAATGAACATTCATTTAAGCAATGTGATTAATTAAAAGTTGCCTTTAAGATATTACAAATAAAAGGTGTCAATTTAATATATATATATATACACGTGTATGTAAAGTAAATAATGTAAAAATTGTAGATATATTTTCAAATGTTATCAATTCTTTTGTGAATATTTTCATCATTTTATATATGTGACTATGTTTATGTAGCAGAAGTTAATAAAACATGAAAACAAAAGGAAGTTCTTATACTTTGCTGAATTTCTTGATTTTTCCTAACAATTTGCTTACAGCATATGTACTCCACACTCCTGGTCATATTTACCAGTTGAAGCTTAGAAGAAATGTTTAACTGTGGGTTAATTTAAAGGGCTTTAAATTACCCTCTACATGTTTACTCATTTGAGAGAGAAGTATGTTTGACATTGTACAGAAATCATCAAAATGTTTATTAGACATTAATACTCTAGTGTCATTATTGAATATAATGGAGTAGTTTCAAAGTATCTTCAGGGTTATATTTTTATCTGTTCTTAAGATGTGTTCATACTAATTTCTTTTTTGGTTGTCTGTTTCCTCATTCAGATCATAGATATTTGAATAATTCTATGTGCTCATAAAGTATGTGAAGATCAATCTAATGACATCTTGGGAATTTCATTTCAATTTAAATGCATGAAACTCTTTTTTAAAATGGATATATTAGTAACTTCGGAAGGGCAGAGTAAGTAACGAATGTTCACAACTGAGAGATGAGTTTTAAAACCTTCATGTTGTGCTATAAAATGAGATAGGTTGACCGTTTAGTTTTTCCGTGGCTCGATGGATGTGGGGCGGGGGGGCTGAAATTTTGAAGGTTGAACTGCAGTTAATTTTATCGACTGGGCTGCTGCATGTCGCCGTTCAGATTGTCAACTGCACATAGGACGCAGCACAGAACGCAAGACGACCACCAAAGACCGGCTCTTCATTTTACAGCTCGTTCAACAGATAGCGCAAAGAATAGAATTTATTTACATTTCAATAATTCATCTTGGGTTCAAGTAAAGAATGTTGTGCATTGTCATAGCACAAATACTTGTTTCTAACATAAATATAAATTACATACTTTTGACAGCAGTTTAATCAAAAATAATTACACAATAATGCATGACCACTATTGCTTACACGTATTTATAATAGCTGATAATTTTTGGTTGAGGTAAATTCTACTATCGAGTAGGAGTGAAACAGGAGATACTATTATAATGCTGGTTTAAACTTCTTTATATCGTGATTCAGACATTTTATAGTGAGGCGAATATAATTGAATACCCTAATTCCAGCATAGTAAACGCCGTTTTGATATTTAATTTAATTTTAAGCGTTTGATTGATTAAATGCACTATCTGTGATATAGGCTGAAACTGCTTTTCGTGTAATCCATGCCTTTGGTTGTGTTTTGTTAATTGTGGTTGGATAAGTGACCGGAATGGTGTCGTAGTACAGTTTTCGTGTGTATATATAGCAAAATGATCTTTACCAGAGTGTTTGTAGGAAATATGTTGAGTAGAGGAAACAGATTATATTGTAGCCAGCGTTCTAGTGGTATTCTTGTCAAAAAGAAAGAGGTATGAGTATTGAACTCGTTGTTTGATGTTATGATTCGACCAAGTCTTGAGTAGGAGGGCCTGTATTTATTTACATTGAAGATATTAATTGGGTATCTTGTCACCACATATACTTTGGTTGCGGATGGTGGAGACGGTCACACTGATGGTGGGTAGCTGTTGTGTACTACATAAGCTGTCGTCGCAATAGAAGTAGCATGTTACACTACAGGCTTGGATGAAACCTTTGGAACAACCCAAGCAATAGAAAATGATGTGGACTGAATTCGTCTAGCTGAAGATAGGCGCTAGTGGTAGTGATGTAATAGAATAGAATAGAATATTTTATAAGCCCTTCATTGTACAAGTTCTTACATAAATATTTGCATTATTTAAGAATTTTAAATCCATAAATTCTTATACAGTGTAGAAAGAATGAGATAGAAGGTAATCTCACATTTTTGTCTTAAATACTTATGTATCATGAGTTAAACTTTTAATGTCAAATGGAAAGGAATTGAATAACTTTATCCCTGTATAGTAAATGATACTGATTTCTGGTAACTAGTTAGGATATCGTTAGGCATATGGAAGTCATGATTATGCCTTGTTTTTATACTATGTATGTCAGAAATTCTCTTAAAACTTCTCTGTGTTTCCCACAACAAATGATAGTAATGAGATTAAGATTTCACCCTCAAAGGGAAGTATATTATATTTCTTAACTATCCCTCCACAGGAGACCTTTTTAACACCCAGCATAATTCAAATGATTTTCTTTTGGATTTTACATACTCTTCTGCTGTGTGTTGAATTTACCCAGAACATAATTCCATATGACATGATGGAATGGAAATAAGCAAAATAAATTAATTTTGAGGCATATATTTTTATAAATGGTATGATTGCCTTCATGGATTTGGGATATGTTTAAATTATTATGAATTTTTAAGGTCAGGAATTTACTTATTTTATTATCATAACTTTTTCAAGATTGTTGCATAAATAATAATACTAGTGAAGTGAACTTGTAACATGTTTACAGAATGTCTCCTTGATCTGCCTGAGCATAAACCCCCATGACATCTACCACCAAACTTTTTGTGATATTAATTTTTTGTTAATGCTTAATAAATTGCAGTATAACATCAATGCATACATTGTAGAAATTTAAAAAAGCATAAGTTCAAATATCAGGAAATTATATATTTTAATTTTTCTGGTGCAACTGGTGATATTTTGATAAATCCTGTAACTGATCAAAACATTGCTAAAACACCAAGTCACAGGAAGGGTGTATTTGTCCTGATGCTTGAAATATCCAGCCATGAAAACATGTGGAAATGGAGTTATAGTTCTACCTACTTAATCTTGGCACCAGATGGAGGTATACTGTATAGTTGTAACGTGATCTTTCTTTCTTTTTGCGTATCTTCTCTTCATTTTAACAGTGTTGTACATCCATTTTTCCAGGTGGCAGGACACATAAAGCAGATATCTGAAGATGAACCTCAGATTCCTCAGAATCCATTGAAAGCTGTTCATACAGCATCTGCTCAGCCAGAAAATGGCAAAATTTATGACAAGAAGCCTTTCAGAATGAAATTTCAGAAAGGAAAGGCATATTTTTGGTGTCTCTGTGGACAGAGCAAAAGCCAGGTATTAAACTGACATACTGTTTGATAGTAGATATCAGGTTCCATGCTGCAAATACCATAACCTGCAAATTGGGCATGATCCTGAACCAGTTCCATCCTCACAAACTAATTCTCTAGATTCACCATAATGCCATCCTCCTGTCTCCTCAGTCAATCAGATGGTCAGTTCCTAAGAGTGTTCCCCACCAGACTTTTGTATGGATTCCTTGTCTGCTGAATGCTTAGCCAATCATATTTAGCATTCTGGATTTCACTGCCCTGACAATATTAGGTGATGTGTAAGTCAGACTGTCTCATGTGGTACAAATTTTAAAATTTAGTGCTGTGCAGCATATTATTCTTGTAGCTCCTACAGTTTAAGGTAATCCATCAAGGAGCGCTGTTCATTATGAGGTGCAAAGCACATTGATATCATCTGATGTCACATTGTGGTGGTTGGTTCTTCTACTTAATATTTGGGAGGTCCTTGAGTTTGAATTATGACCTATTGACTGACTGATCTTACTTTGACTTACTGGGTTTCCATCAGTCCCTTCAAGCAACTAGTGCTGATATAGTATCTTAAAACATGCAATAACAATTCATGTAATATAACTCTGTGTACCTGTGCAGCTGAAAAGTATTATTAACATCCCAATAGTTAATTACTGAAATGAATAATCAGTAAGCTCACGTATAATACTTCATGTTATTCTTCGTTGTTTCAGCCATTGTGTGATGGGACTCACAGAAATCCATATTTGAACATAAAGTTTCGGCCAATAAAATTTATGGTGACAGAGGACAAAGAATATTGGTTATGTAATTGCAAGCAGACTTCTAACCGGCCGTTCTGTGATGGAACACATAAACGGGAAGATATTCAGGCAGCTATTAAATAACAAATTTTGTGAAGACATTAGACATATATTTAAAATACAAACATATTAATTTGATGTACCTAGAATCTTTGGTAAATATGTATAAAAGTGAGAATCGCTACACAAATGTTTTGTGGACATTTATCCTATAAAATAACTTTCAAGCTATAGGAACCAGAGTTACTTTAGTGGTACAGGTTAAAATATATTTCACTAATGATGTGAAATAGAAATAATACATTCAATAAAGATTGCATGCAGTAACATGAAATATTACAGTATAATGATTACCACTGCTGCTTCATATTCAGAATTACATTTCTTCCACATCAGTTTTCATAGCTGTGACACTGTAATTTGGTTCTCCTGTAATTCTACATGGCATTTCCTTTAGTACAGATACAGCAAATATCATTCATAGTTTGGCTTCCAGAACATTGTTCACAAGAAAAGGGTGTGCTGCAGAAAGATCTGATTGGATTTAAGACTGGAAAGCATTTTGAGAGGAGGGAGAAAATAATTTAACATGCAATGAGAATGGATTATTTTAAAAGAGGTATAAAATTTCCTAAAATTGGCAGATTCCAAAATGATTAAATGAGGGAAAGAATAGAATGAAGAAACCATAATAAAGACAGTTGAAAGGAAAGATTGAACTAATATGGACATGTAATGAGAGTGGAAGAAGACATTGCCAAAAAGAATAAACAGTGTGTCCCAAACATCATGCAACCCAAAGTTGAATATCATGTTTAATATACATATTAAATTATAATTACATTAATTACATCAAACATTGAATGTTTCTGCCACCATGTTGTAGACATAACTTAACCCAGTGCATTGTTTATCATTACTGGACCCAATTCCTCAAGAAAATATAACAAATCAAAAAATTGTTGACTTATTTGGTACAGCAGTGTCAAGAAAGTGCACTAGATGTGCCTGTTTAACTGCTTCATACAACTGCATGCAGAAATAACATTCAACAGCGTTGATGGCATTATGCAGTTGACTGAATATGAAGAATCTTAAATGTTAGCATTCCTAGTTCTTGAGGCTCCCATCATAACTTCCTCCACAGTCTTCAGAGAGGAGCTTTATTAGCCTCAGAACTCCACTGTGAAGAATCTTGGTCTTTATTAGCACCAGCCCACCTTTAATAATAATCAATCTAATATTTTTTATCTTCACATTTATAATTTTACTATCTTTCAACAACTTTTATTTATATGAATAGATGCATACCATCTTTATGCAAATTATGCATTTTATTCCTGCCTTTCACATTCACTGCACTGACTTTGATGGGTTTAACAAGGGCTTAAATTATTTACTCATCTTATTGTGATCAGTTTTCTTAATACTGTAATACTACATAATATAAAATAATGGGTAAACATACTCCATATTCTAATACACTACACAGTATGCAAAGTTTTAAGATACGAGCACAGTTGCATAAAATATTTGCATCCAACAAAACTGTAACTGGGGTTAATGAGATTTATAACATCTTCCATCAGCAGTTTTCAAGTGAAGTTTGCCATGCAAGCATTCATTGAATCCCTTATATGCTACACAAGATATATTATTTATCTAAATGTATTTGGTGATTGAAACAATCAGTGAAAGAAATGTGTATCACTATTTATAAACAGTTAATAAAACTAACTATTCTTGGTCTTTCAGTGGTAGAGATTGGTGTTAAGAACTGAAATATACTAACAGACGAAAGCTTCTTTAAATAAAATCCTTCACAGAAAATACTTAAGTAACATTAATTTTAAATAACATGGTTATGTGGTGATCAGAAATCTTCTAGGATCTACAATCATTAGGGTGTAGAAAGTATTTAATAGTACGTACCATGTTTTTATTTAGAGTATGCAGTCAAAAAGGAAACTTGGTAAGGTATTAAACCTGGTTAGTCCTCCCTTTTTATTGTTTTGTTCATAAAAATAATGTAGCTGGTGGAAATACTTGAGAACTACTGTCTTAGGTCAGTTACTACGAGTTATGTGATATACATATCTTGTTATCTACTTAGATAATGTATTATATTTATGTACTTTACATACCTCTTTTCAATTCTACAAAATGTAACTATATTCATTTGCTAGTTCCATAAGTGTTTTCTTGATCCTGGCGATACAGTCCTAGGAATGATCCTAAAACAAATAATGTTTTACAGTGCCGTTTGATAATACCCGCAAATACTGCCTGCCATAAAGCTTTCCTGCTTTTGTTCTTTGGATTAAAATCTCCACAAACCTGAATGGAACTTTCATTACACATACTGATTATAGTTCTGACCTTTCAGTTGACCAATTTCTCAACCAAGGAGTCCTATTAAAAGTATAACAAAATGTAGTGAATAAGAAACCCACTACTATAGTCCCATAAGAGTATGTTGTAAAGTCACCCATATGACAACTTTAATCTCACAAGACAACCTCATAGTTTCATTCATTGTTACAAATATGATACCTCTGAGATGCATTCAAAGTTCTGTCCTGTTCTTATATGTAAGTTTAAATAAAATAATCTTTAGCTGTGGGAATCAAAGTAACTCGTAACACTTAGTTATTACTGTTGGTTATTTCCCTAAAAATATATAAAAAATAACTGACAAAGAATTAATTGCATAATATATAAAATGTGCATCAATGTATCATATGTTTGACTTTAATTACCATTTGATGGACACTACAGTTGTTTTACCCAAATATGGTTGCACATTTTATGTTCATATTTGTATATATTTTGTACACTGTCTTCTAATAGCGTTCTTACTGTTGGAACCATAGTTCTGCTTCTTATCTCCTTAATGCACTAGTTTATAGGGGGCCTCATCATTTCTGAGGCGAGGTCTTCTAGTGGAAGTGGCACTTCTAACAGTGGACTGGAACTTCTTGATTGATGTGTTGATGAAATTGAAGTTGTCTTGATCCTTTTTAAATTAATTGATTCATTGCTGCTACTTTCACTTGCTGACACATGATTGAAAGTTATTATTGGCTTTGGTGGTACTTTGACTTCTTGAAGTTCTAATGCATTAATTTTGCTGGTTATTACATTTATACTACTTTCACCACTGGAATTCCTATGTGTTGTTTCACTTTTCTGAGTGCACTGACTGCTTCCTATCTGGCTGTTGTCATTCACCTTCCTTTGTTTATCCTTCTCACAGTGGTCCTTTAGCACTGTCTCGTCATCTTCACTGCAAGAAGGTGGACTAGCAAAGAAATTGTTGCTGTTGATAGCATTTTGGTTACTATCTTGATTGTTGCTCCCAGTTGCTCCGTCACAGCTAAAGGAATGATAAGAAATGGTGCTGCAGTTGTGACTAGATGATTTCATAGAGCCAGCGATTACAGATGTGTTATCATCACAGTCATGACCATCCCCACAACTAAGTTGAATCACTTGTTTGTGGTGTTTCTGGTGATAAATTCCATGTGCTTCATCAGTTTCATGCTGTTTCTGTTGCTGAATAATGTCATTTAGTGTCTGGACATGCCTGTGGAACAGATAGTTGTATGCGTCTTGCAGGTAGTCTGATTTCTCTAGCAGTCCACTTTGGCTTTCCTGCCCCTGCCTGGCATCATCTGTACTGACTGGTTCAGCCATGGTAGATTCGTGATTTCTGGATGTGAGAAGCCTTTTCAGCATTGCCTTGGCTTCCTCTGTCGAAGATAATACTTGTGAGGCTTCTTCTATGGGGGAATGATTACCAGGAAGATCCATTGTACACATCAGCAAAGGTTGTCTTATGGCGACACTTCGATTTTTCGATTTGGTTTTCTTTTGGTACATGTCATTGGAAGGTTTTACCTGTCGACGATGTACTGAAGCTCTACAAACCCCACCACTGATTATTTTACTATCTCTTTTCGTTTGTGCCTTCCTGTCCTCTAAAATTTGGGCTGTGAAACAAGAATATGTTTTATTTTGGTTTCGTATACGCGATACTGTTTCTTGGCTTGATAAGTAAGAGAATCGATGTTGTAGGCATATAGGTTTGCCCACTAAAGTGAATAGCTGTCGAAGCCCTTGGTAGCTATCATTTCTGTCACCGACTGCAGAACTGCTCTTCTTCTGTCGCACGCCTACCGATCTCTCCAGCACTGGTCAGTCTACTACAGAGCAAATCCAAATGTACCGTTTAAATAGCACGCAGTCAACCAGATATGCTTTAACACCTCGCACTACCTATTGCTGACACATCACAAGAGCGCAGGCGTATGCTTTCTTTGTCGGTATTTGACGTCATTCAACTCCAAAGCGCGTGCAATCATTCCGTTATTACAATGTACGGGTGATAGTTTTCGCACAACGAAAGATGTCCATCCGGTGTGTTGGTTTTATCTGCGGCCGGTACGGAACCGACCGTACTTACCAGCGACTCGTACGATTGAACGCCGATCAGGGCGGTTAAGGGATTGGACGAGGGAGGGGTAGAATATGATGAAAGCATTGCGGAAATTTCCGATGCAGAATAAAATAACACAGAGTTAAAACATCTGTTCAGTTTCATTTTTAATGACTCCATATTTTTTGGCAAATTTCCGCGCGTGAATTCATAAATCTAGACATGCTATTTTTATGTTTCATACGTGCGTCAGCCTGCCTCAAAATAGTTGGCAAATGTTTGTAGAAAAGATTTAGATTTCTTGAAATAGAAAAGTGGAATTGGAAAGACAAGTTTTCTTTTGGTATATTTTCCAAACGCATTCTTTGTGACGTTGATAGTCTTTCTTTATTTGTTGCAAAATCATATTTATGTCGATAAAACTAAGAAATAGTTCCAAGTTAATATTGCTTCATTTTATTTATATTTTGTCTTTGTCTTCATTTCCCTCTGTGTCGGGTCCCGGAAAGTAGGCTGTCACGTAAAAGAAGTATGATGGTTAAATGTGTTTGCTCCTGTACCTAAGCACAAATCCATTGAGGCTTGTATAAAAGTAAATATTTAAGCAGGATTCACACCGTAACAGTAGACAACAGGCGATGCGCGATAGATGCCACTTTTGGGGAAAGTATGTGAACAGTTCACACCGGAACCATAGCGATATTTTTTTGGTTCTTTATTATCACTCCGTGATTGGTTATTCGTTGTCCAAAGCAGTTTTTCTGCTATGTCGCCTGTCGCTATGGAGGGTGTGCAGTGATTATTTAATTCCTCGACATTTTCATGCAGGAAGTGATGAAGAAGAGAAAATGCAACTCCAGGATTTGAACCCATGCCGTGAAATTATCACCAACTTATATGTCTATCATATATAGTCTTACGCAAATTTTCTGAGCACATGAACCATAATTGAAACATCGGAATGTAAATAGATTACAATGGCGTGAAGAAGAAACAAAAATAGCACAGACTCATTATTATTAATGCGTCAGAGATTTGTGTGACGCACGTTCAGATAACGGTAACAGTGAAGTGTTAGGGTCCAGGTGAAATACTTGAATGCGTGCATCACTACTTGCGGCGTAATAACGTGAACAAGTAGGCCACCATTGTCTGGTGAAAGGAATGGTAGACTACCCGTAGTGCAGAGCAAGTTTCATGCTTCTTTTCTGTTCCATTCTTTCTTCTTGGGCATACCCTGAACGGTGCATCGTACAAGGAAGTAGGGAGGTTCACATTCTAAAATTGGGTCAAGCATTTCCAGTCGGAAAGTGCTTCCAGTAGAGTTTATAGCACAAAGAGAGAAGCGGAGATTATCGATCTGAATATTATTCAGACACTAAATTTACGGTCGTCTATACACGTATTAATGTCTCCTGGCATTAATACGATGTCTTCAAATCGCAGCCCGAACCCCGTCGAATCTCACTCCAGACCATTGACAACACTTTGTGGCCACGACAACGAACCTTCGAGTTACATAAAAACGAACAATTTCTTTACCGGCCGACCAACAACCAAAATTTGTAGAAAGTCGCTTCACTGTGGAGTCAGTTCAGACTTTATGATACTTTTACAGTTACACTGTAAAGAATGTAAGGTGGCTTCACAGAAATAATAGCTAGCTCACTTCTACTTCGTGTGACGCCAGACAAATCCAGTTGCTCAGCCAATGGACGTCATTTCCAGGAGAGTAAATACCGTACTGACGTCAGCAGGATCTAAGAATTTACTTACAAATCATAATTTATTGTTCCCCGCGTACCCACTTGCGAAATCTGTTGTTATTTTTCTGAAATAGTGTCAGTAACTTACTATGGACAGAGAATCCTGAAAGGCGATCCATATACGCCACATTTAGACACTGTGTCTGTATTGGAACAAATATACAGAACTCAAATCATAATACGTAATTATAAAGACTGGAGAATTTCGGATGATTACTTGTTTGTGTGCTACACACAAGCACAGTGATGCCTACCAGTATCTGCTTTTGTGGCCGTCCTCCCACCCTATTAGTAGTTCATGTAATCATGTGTACTTCGGCAGATTTGTTACGAAAATATAATTGTGTTAATAATTCTGGATGCCATATTCAGTTGTGAGCGATATTTGCACGAAGTTCAGCAATTGAACGCACAATATCAAGGTCATGTCTGCTCACACCTATCTTCAAAATATTTTGACGGATTTCGATTAAATTTGGCCTCCATTGCGCGCAAGTCGATCCGTGTGTGTTTTCTTAAAATCCTATCATCATATAACCAATATATAACTTTCATTTTAGACATTCTTTGGTAGGGTGAATACTTATGAATAAAAGGAATCATAATTTCAGTATCAGGGGTGGAGTGTTCATGTTAAACGTGTTAGCCCAGCCAAAACGAAAAATTAAAGTCTTCTGTCTTGCAATCTGCGAATGAGAAAGAAGTTCCCATCTTGCACAAGAGTTAAAAAAAAAGAGCTTAATTCTTGGACAGATGGAGAAATAAAGATGTGATAATGAAGTACTGTAGGCAGGAAAGCAAGGAAGAAGACCTAGAGGCAAATCCTGATAAATCTGGTTATGGATACTCATAACATACTGAGAGGAAATGGAATGGGATGGAAAATGGAAGATGCCTTGAGAAAGTATTGCAAGCCTAGAGAAAGACCAGATCAATCTGGGGAAAGGGTATTCAAAAATATTAAGCAGAAAGAAATAAGATGGAATGAAGACCAAAATTCAGTTACGTTTCAGATCTCATTGCTAAACAGCTGTGTAGCATTAGCTGTAAGAGGATTGAGCATGTATTTGAAAATTTTAATGTGACAGAATATGTTGACTCAATGTTTGGCCAAGTAGAGCAGTACCAACTGCAGATACCATGAATTTTAAATTTGTCTGGCTGTCAAACTAGTGAAGACAATGCTGAGCCATGTGTTTACATGGACCCAGACACCTCATTCTATGCACCCACAGCAAACACACCTCATAGAGCTTCCAGATTGGCATAACAAAGGTTTGATTTTATCAGATGGGTAGGGTTATAACTTTCATACATATGATGTAAGTAATATTTTAAGTTATGTGAAATGATTATGAAATTAAACTTATAAATGAATTGCTTATTGAACATTTGTGTAGCCTTTGGTGCAAATGTACTGTATACTTTTTTAAATAAACATGAAATTGCAATTCTGTGTTTGCTCTTTGGTCAAATTCTACGAAACTGCATGGCGTAGTACCCCCAGAAGGCTTTCATAATGAAGTTTTAACCGACTGAGATCTTGGCAGTGGTTGTTACTAGAAAGCTGTGTAGTAGTAGTTTATTGCCGCTGCTGGTAGATGGAAGTGCAATATATTCTTCAATCAAAACCGTCAAAGGGCATTGATTTACCAATCTCTAATCTGTGCATTGGATGCTGTGTAGTAGTGTGTGGTTTGTGTTTTTGTTATAACATTACTCTTCCTTTTGCAATTGCATTGTTGCAGCTACAGAATCATTTTAATTTTAATTCAAAGTACATATCTAAAACACATTTCATCTTATTACTTTTACCCCCCATGTAATATAAGTTTACGTGACATTTGAGAGATTTCCTGTGGAATAGGCAGACGCCATTTGTGTGTGTTGAGTTGTGTCATTAAAGACGAATTGTGAGTTAATAAAACTGTCTTCGTGTGGAGATACGTCTTTCACACTGTGTAGTATTTAGAAAACATAGATAACTATTATTACTGTTAAGCTTTAACGTTATGGGAATAAGTTTATTGAATGATCATTTAGCTGGGTTACGATGAGCTCTGTCTGTATACAGTTCAAAAAATGTTGTGATAATTGTTATTGTAATATAAATGGAAAGAAGAGTTGAATCTAGTCATGTAAATGCTGCTTCATTCACGCATACAATACAACTATACGTTTCTTAAGTATTTTTTCGCATGATCTGAACTTATGTGGGTTCGACTATTTACAGTTCCTTATTTACTAAGTTTAGTACAAAACAATATAAAATACATGTCTTGGGCGGCATTATTGTATTACACATATTTAAAACTCCCAGAAGATCTTGTTTTGTAATATGGAATGAATTATTTCTTCTTGTTATTAATATTGAACTTTACTGTCCATTTCTGAACATTTGCAGGAAATAACTCCCATGACAATGAGTTACCAAATCCAGCCACAGCAAACCAGGCCAAGTAAGTAGGCAGTCACCATTTTCTTCTGCTGTTTGGAGTACAGGCTTATGTTAACAGAATGTTGTCTGTATCTGTGTTATGCAACCTTCTTTTCACCTATGGCACACTCTAATTTACCAGAATAAAACAGCACACTACAAAATTTTGCCTTGCGAAAAGGGGATACAAAACTCAATGTTGCCATAAATATGTATTTGCATATAAATCCTTATCATATGAGAGGGCAGACATGAAACAAAACATACCATGTGTTGAAGAAGACTATCAATGGTGAATATAAAATAAGCAAACAAACAAACTATTAACACTATAAAAAAGACACTAGTGCCATACACGTTTTAACCTCAAGAGGTCATCATCAGTGGCAACAGGGAAATTAATTAATTTAATCAAAATGGTTTAGAAAAAACAGTGTCTTTTTTATAATGTTAATAGTTTGTTTGTTTACTTCTTTTATATTCTAATACACTACACGGTATGCAAAGTTTTAAGGTTAACAATGGTTAGCCTGTACAAACGGTAAGGATATGCCAGTCTGACAAGTAGTGCACCTCTGGACCATAAAAACTGGAGGAATATGAAATAAAGGTCATACTATGTAACAAGAAAACATATCATTTATTGAAATACTGTAGCATGAATGTTGGGGGTTTAGGGATTTAATCATTTCTGCACGAACTGACTTCTAGACCAGTATTTGCCACAGTCACATACAAGAAAATCACATAAGGTAATTTTCACATGTATAAAATTACATGTTATATGGAACCTTTATAATTAGGCATAATTACAGTGAACACAAAATAAATTTTATGTATGTACATAGACCGTGCCTGGCTGCAGGTGAAACCTCCATCCGTTGGGCCAGGCATGGTATTCTATGATTAACATATTTGAGCAGTCCAGAGAAACACTAATGGAAAAACAAGGACAAGCAAGGCAAGTGCTTGACTTTGCCCACGGGCTCCCATTTTCTAGCATCGAACCATGAGTTCTGGTTCCAGGCAGATATATATATGGGACATTCATAGAGTCCAGTTATATTTGATCAAAACAATGAAGCACTTGACGACATGAGGGGTGTTCATCAATTGATGAGTGATAGGCTATGTGAACTTGTTTACAGTAGCAGGCATAATTGCATAGTATTTTTAACAAATTGTCATGGTGTTTCAATAATTTTTGCCTCATTTATAACATTGTAGCCTGCATATTAATAAGAAAGGGTTAATGTGGCAGGCCTAGGGTTTAAAGTCACTGTATCAAACAATTGTTGGAACTGCATTATATAACAGGATTGTTACTGGGGGTAGGTGATGGGAAGTAAAATCCAGCTGCAATGTTTTTGTTGCAGTATATCAATTATTACCTGTGTTCCGGGTTTGTGTAGGGTAACGTCCATACCTCAGTGGTTCTGACTTGAACTCAAGTTGGCCACCTGTTGTCTTTTGATCAGAAAAGGAGGAGAATGCTGAGACAGTACCTTGAAATAGGCCTTGGTCACATCTTTCCTGTTAACTATTTACCATATTCTCATCTAATTCAGTTTTGTGTGATTTTTGCAGTTGAAAGTTTATCATTGACTTCATGGGAAGCCACACTTCACAAATATGCTGTAATTGATAATATGTTGATTGTTTCGTTTCAGTGTCTCATGGCAACTACCAGAGCCCTGGTGACCTGCCATTGGGATCTGCCAAGGAGCAGACTATTATGTGGCAACAGAATTCTTACCTGGGAGATTCTGGAATCCATTCAGGTGCCACAACACAGGCCCCATCACTCACTGGCAAAGAGGAAGATATGGAATCAGAACAGCTTATGTTTGATCTTGACCAAGGATTCACACAGGGTTTCACACAAGATCAAGTTGATGGTGAGTAACATACATGTATCTTGTAGTTTAACCCACTCAATTTGTAGGTGCAGTCATTAGTTGAAGTTGTGTAAATGTCCTTAATTAGATTCACCCCATCTTTTTACCTATCAGTCAGTCCACGTATTTTGTACCTAACATTATATGAATATGAATGTTCAACTTCAAGCTCTGTCTGTTAGCTTTAAACTTTACTGACTGATGTATGAGTTAAAAGTTGTTTATATTCGCTTGATCAAATTTCTTTGGAAACAGTTGACATTTAAATTCATAACTTCATTTGTCTGGAGACATGTTGATATATCTTTACAGAGGTAAGTTATAATGGTTTGTTTTTGGGCTAGTAACCATAAGTGAAACATAATTTATTGACATGCCAGAATAGGTACATACATTAGAATAGTTTACATTACATTTTATAACTAGATGAAACATGTTGGTGCTTGTATTTTTTTAGTATAATTAGTAACCTCAGTTATGTGTCCTATCATCAGAGATGAACCAGCAGCTGAGTCAGACACGCTCACAGCGTGTCCGGGCTGCCATGTTTCCTGAAACACTGGAAGAAGGAATTGAAATACCATCAACTCAATTTGATTCTGCTCAGCCCACTGCTGTTCAGAGATTGGCTGAACCAAGCCAGATGCTGAAACATGCTGTTGTGAATCTCATCAATTACCAGGTATATAACTGGTTCATTTTGGGGGGCTAAGCCCCGTAACGTTTAACTGTGGTGATACTGTACTTGTAATCACTAAAATTATGATCATATCACTATCATGATTAGTCATCGTTACAAGTTGTTTATAAATTCTGAATAAAGTAACTTCAGATTGTCTGTTTTCTGATAATTTGGTGTTCCCCTTTCCTCCATTATGATGGATAATCATGTATCTGCTGTGTCTTGTTCTACTTGTTGGATGGATACAAGCCGTATCATCTGGTAATGTCTTCAGTGCAGTATTAACTTAAATATATATTAGAAACTTTGGTTTGGTTAACTGTGATGTAGGGAATATGTTTTCATTCCTTCAAGAAGTACTCTTCAAATAGTGTTTAAAACTTTTCTTTCAGGATGATGCTGATTTAGCCACTCGAGCTATACCAGAACTCATAAAACTTTTGAATGATGAGGATCAAGTTGTTGTGTCTCAAGCTGCCATGATGGTGCACCAACTGTCGAAGAAAGAAGCCTCCAGGCACGCCATAATGAATAGTTCTCAGATGGTTGATGCTTTGGTTCGAGCAATCTCCAGCAGTAATGACCTGGAGTCTACAAAAGCAGCTGTTGGAACTCTTCATAATTTGTCGCATCATAGACAGGGGTTGCTTGCTATATTCACGAGTGGTGGTATTATAGCATTGGTGAAACTGCTCAGGTTAGTTGAATTTTGATAATTATAAGCAGAAAATTGACAGCCTTTTATTTAAAATCTTATAAATTAGTCTTTGTCACCAATAGATTTTGACCCTGCTTTTTGGTACTGGCCCGGTGGAAATGTGGGCTTGTTGTCATCATTTCATATGGTCATATTGCCCCTCTCTTCAGGGCTGATAGAAGTAGTATTTTCGTCTAAAATGGCGGCAAAATCCCAACTTCTACACCGTTCCAGCACCTGTAAGCAGATTCCATATCAATAAAAGTTTTGCAACTTATAAGGTTTTGGGTTTTTAGCCCTATACCCATCCCCTCACCAGGTGGAGGGTTATTCCTTGTTTGCTATACATACATAATTGTTTATTCAGTATGTTTGTAAGTGTCTTCCATTACCAGAGGAATCTGTTACGAGGTTTATTTTCTTTGGAGGCATTGATGGTTTACTGTCTCAGTTTAAACAAAATAGTTGTGAAGGTATGAATTTGAATTTGGTTTTGATTTATATTCCAGCTCTCCTGTGGAATCTGTGTTGTTCTACGCAATTACTACACTCCATAACCTACTGCTTCATCAGGATGGCTCCAAAATGTCAGTTAGACTTGCCGGGGGTTTGCAGAAAATGGTGGCTCTCCTGCAACGCAATAATGTCAAGTTTCTGGCCATTGTGACAGACTGCCTGCAGATCTTAGCCTATGGAAACCAAGAGAGCAAACTGATAATTCTTGCTTCACAGGGTCCAGTAGAGCTTGTTCGCATCATGCGTTCTTATGACTATGAGAAGTTGCTCTGGACCACATCACGAGTATTGAAAGGTAGAGTTAACCATAATTGATGTAATTTTTTCTTATCATAGGAATATGCAATTAAAGGTCATTTCATTTCCTTGGAATTGGGTTCCAATATTAATACCTTTCAGTACAGAATCCCACAGGATTTCCTGGTGGACTGGTTAGGTTGTAACACTTTTTACAAAAAATAACAATTGTAATTCAGATACCTGAATGGTTTAACATTCCAGTAAAAGAGAAATCTCCATACAGCCCAGTATTATGTATTTACTAGCTTTACCTATTGTTTGCAAGCAGTATTTACTAGTAATTAAAACATTCTCGTGAATGCTGTCATCACTACTGGCTGCTGACTTGTTATCGCTATCATCACAGTTATTTATATTTGGATCAATGCTTATAGAACATACCTATATTTTGCCATGGCTTAATGCTGTTGTTTTTCACATAGTTTGGAAATACTAGAACTACTAAGATTTTATGATATTTACAAGAATTAAATCATAAAAATGAAGGGTATGTATTGCTGACAGAAATCTGAAATTTTTGGAAAGTTATTTTACTTTGAAATGTGGCATAATTATGTTGCAACTACATAATTGCTTGTTTTGCTGGTTAAATGTATGTTTATGACTTTGTCACATTGTAATGCTTTTAATATAATTTGGCTTCAGTTCTGTCCGTCTGCTCAAGCAACAAGCCAGCTATTGTGGAAGCTGGAGGAATGCAGGCGCTGGCCATGCACCTTGGTCATCCAAGTCAACGTTTAGTTCAGAATTGTCTGTGGACTCTGAGGAACCTCTCAGATGCTGGAACAAAAGTGGTGAGATTAACATTATTGCTGCAATTCTATAGTTTGCAGTTTTTGTTTGACATGTATGAAGCATATTGTGTCTTTTTATTCTGATTTATGTAAGACTTGAGGTTCTCACAGCGGTGAGTATGAAGATTTCCGTCTTCTGGGTTGTTGCGCTGTGTAGTACTGCCAGTATGACCTCTGAAACGTTGGTTAACATCAACAAGACTACACAGCGCAACAACCCAGAAGACGGAAATCCTGATTTATGATATTTGTAAAGTTATATAGCTTGTGGATTCTGACAAGGGAATGGTCCGGTTGGTCATGTCGAAACCTCACCTGAAATTTTGCTCGTCTACAGAGCCCATCGAGTAATGATTGTACACAAAATTTCAGCTGCTGATATGCTATTCAAGGGTACGAAAAAATTGCTCAAAGTTGGAATGTTCAAGAGTATTATAGTATGTGTGATGTATTGTAGGATGGGCTTGAAGGCCTGCTGCAAAACTTGGTCCAGCTCTTGGCATCGACTGATGTGAATGTAGTGACATGTGCTGCTGGCATCTTGTCGAACCTGACATGCAACAACCAACGCAATAAAGTGACAGTATGCCAAGTGGGTGGTGTGGATGCTCTGGTGCGTACCATCTGCAATGCTGGCGATCGTGAGGAGATAACAGAACCTGCTGTGTGTGCCCTGCGCCATTTGACATCTCGACACATTGAATCAGAGATGGCACAGAATAGTATTCGTCTGAATTATGGCATGCCAATGATTATAAAGCTGCTGCAGGCTCCATCTCGTTGGCCACTTGTGAAAGCAGTGATTGGATTGATACGAAATCTGGCCCTCTGCCCAGCAAATCATGCCCCATTGCGTGAACATGGAGCTCTCCACCACCTAATCCAGCTTCTCATGAGGGCTTTTAAGGACATACAGAGGGTATGCAAATATTTACAGAACTTCAGAATCAGACGTTAGTGGATGTATAAGGAGGATTAAATTGCCTCATTTCTTTAGTTATTACAGTGAACTTTCCATATCTTTCTTAATTAGCAACATCTGAAAATGTTTATTTTTGTGATTCATTATTTTATGATTCATAGTTATCAAAAGTAGGTAGTGATAGTTAATTTAATGTTTCCTCTCAATTTAGTTGTGTGCCATTAATCTAGATTTGTGTGCACTAACATGGCTTACAAGAATTTTAGAAAGATTACTGGCTGAGAAGTCTGAAGATGAGTGTCAAAAAAGCCATGAACAGAATTATTAATAATGATCATGAAGAATTTAGAAATTACTTTGAATCAAACTACATTATTTTTGCATTTTAGAATAAATTAAGTGTCTTGGATTTTATAATTTATGATTTTGCTCCAAAATACTGTATGTAGCGACTTTAAAATACCTCTTAATTATACACGGTGTAAGCCTCTGAATATATTCTTGTTTAATAATTAAGTTATAGATGAATTCTGAAGTAAAAGGTTAACTGAAGTTTGCCCCTTATAATCACAATACTCTACTGTTCAGGTACCTAGTTCTGATATCACAACATTGATTCTTACAGCATGAGATGTGGTGAACTATTTTTTTGTATGTAATGGGATTCTAGAGATCCTCAGTTGCTAGCAGTGGCAGCCAGCAACCTGGGGCATATGCTGATGGAGTGAGGATGGAGGAGATAGTAGAAGGAACTGTTGGGGCTCTGCATATCCTGGCCAGGGAGTCACATAATCGGGCCATCATCAGAAGACAGATGGTCATCCCAATATTTGTGCAGGTTAGTCTGAATGAAAACGTTTTTAAGGTTATGATAATAAAGATGATCATAAGAATATTACATATTGTATTTGGCCTTAATTGTCACTTATTTTGGTTTAGAGAGGCTCCCATATGTAGAACTGGCTTAGAGTAGTAACCTATAGTGTTACAGACTGTACAGGTAATGTTAAAATTTTTAGATAAAGAGTTATGTGAGCTGAATAACTTGACATATTTATTTCCAACTTGTATTCAGAAAGTATTGCATTTGATTTCAGTTGTTGTTTAATGAGATAGAAAATATCCAGCGAGTGGCTGCAGGAGTACTGTGTGAGTTGGCCGCTGACAAGGAAGGTGCCGAGATGATTGAACAGGAAGGAGCCACAGCTCCATTGACAGACTTGTTGCATTCACGTAATGAAGGTGTTGGTAAGTAGTATTTTCTTTATTTTTTCAGATCTGCATTTGAATTCATAGATTTAACACCATTGTGACTAAGGCATTTAACTTCAGGATTTTTGTTTGCAGGTTTTTAAATTGTTATTTTTCCCATTGTTTCTGTTAGCAACATACGCAGCAGCTGTTTTATTCCGAATGTCTGAGGATAAGCCGCAGGACTATAAGAAGAGGTTGTCCATGGAATTAACCAATTCCCTCTTCCGTGAAGACCAGAATCTTTGGAATGGAGGTGATCTTGGGATGGGTCCAGATTTACAGGTATGTTTTCTTCTGTGAGTGTTTGTGTTGTTATAAGATTTTCCTCACTTTAGTTACTAGGACTGTAATGTTTTATACCTGTGTCCAGTGATGTGATTAAAATACAGAGTTTCTAATTGGCTCGTAGGTGAGAATATGTAGGAGGATTATGAATGTTTTGCTGCACTGCCATGTGTTCATGTCTTGCTACCTGTATGATGTACATATTTGTTTTGTGTTACATATGGGCAGTTAATTGCATAAATTTTTGTAGGATGAGGCTCACCTGGCAGCTTCCTGTAGTTGTGTTTATTGAGTGCAGTGCAGGACTGAGCTTAATTCACCTTTTTATCACAGCTGACTTACAGATGCATACATTTTCCTTTGACAATATTTTTTAAACAGTCTTTAGAATTTGCATGAGTTGTGTGTAGCAGGAAAATTTATGTTAAAGTATTTAGTTTTTCACTATAAGTCACTTATAAATTATTATGCTTGTCTGTAGGTTATTATATTATTGGTTGTTAGTTATTATGTTAGTTACGTAAATTGGTCATTGCAGATATTTGATACTTTATTTATTGAACTATATGTTGGCTGTGACTGTTATTATAAAACCTTCCCATCCCATTCTCAGTGGGCTGATTTAAGGTAGTCTTTTTATCGTCACCATACATTGTCCTCAGAATTACTATATTTCCCGGATCCCTTTGGCTTAACCTGATTTGTTTAAAACTGGTATCATATGCATTTTGGAAAAATAAATTAATGTGCTTATCAAGTTTATGTCTTTATAGCAGCTGTATTTTTATCTCCCTCCTGCATTACCATTGACAATATTGATCCATGGTACAGATTTGGTGAAAATAGAATTAATTTGTCCTTATATTTTATAATTTTTAGCACGTTTTGCGTGTTGCACTTTGTATATGGCATGGTTGGTTTTTGTTTTTTTGCATTGATACCCCATTGCAGGATATGCTTGGCCCTGATGGTATGTATGGACAGGGACCACCTAGTGTACATAGCAGTCATGGCGGCAAGCCCTACCACCAGCAAGGTAGGTTCAGGTGCAGGCAATCAATCAGTTGACCATCCTGTCCATTTCTGACTTTCAAGAACACTAGTATACATAACCACATTCAAACATTGTGTTTTTCTTAACATGGACAGAGGAAGGGCATAGAATATTTAGTTAGTCCAAGGGGAAAAGTTAGGTGTTTGTTTCATTTGACAGGACTTACCCAGGTTTAACAATATGTGGTACTCTCTGAGAAGGAAGATACTTCAGAAATTGACAGATGTGACCATAATTCTATATGTTTTTCCCTTTCTTATAGTTCTTCAGTTTCAGTGATTCTAGGAACAGGTTACTTGATCTTCTGTCTAGATTACTTTATTTTATCTCTCTGTTTTTCGGGGAAATAATTTATTACATGGTAAAGATTAATTAATAAAAATAAAGTTGTACATTCATACATACTTATGTAATGTTACAGTAGGGCCCCGCTTTTCGGCGATCCGCTAATACGGCGCTTTTCAATTGCATACATATGCCCCACGTGCTCAACAGCTGAGTCAGAGAAGTGAGTCCGGCGCCATTTTCTCGTCGCTGATTCAGTCTGTTTACAGCTACTACTGATATTTATTTTAGTTTCATATCATTTTCTTAGGCCTAGCGCTATTGTGCACTTACTATATGATAGTGTAAACATCTTATTAGGCTTTGATATGCATTTGCAATTGAAAAAAGGCAAAGATCCGCTTTTCGGCGATTTTCGCTTTCGCTTTCCCTAACCTGCCGTATATGCGGTGCCCTACTGTATTGAGAACTAAAAGGTGGGAATTATCTCAGTAACAGTCAGACTATGGCTAAAATTAACACAATGATGTCAACCACTTTCATTAGGCTGTAGAACCTGCTTTGAAATTCTCTGTAACATCCCTGGTAGTTAACATTTTTATCTTCAGGAAAACACTTCATCCTTGTCCCAGGTTTGCTTACCTTGTTGCATGATTGCAAATGGCTTCCATATTTTCTTTTTAAAATATACTGTTACATGTAAGAACATTCACATAATCTGCATGTCCTTTGTGTTTGTAAATGTTAATTGCTACTGCAGTGATCTGCATAAAAATCAGTATGGTGCAAGTTACAGAAAATCTTTTGTTTTTAATCTGTATATGTGTATATTCTTTGTAGCTCAACCTTTTAGCTTGTAAATCTGATGGCTTTTTCTTCTGTTGGAATCACCATTCCTTTAGGTTATGACCAGATACCAGTAGATTCCATGCAGTGTTTGGAGATTGACTCTCATCATGGAGCTGATGGTGGTGGGGGTTCTGCGTATGGACCCTTGGATGCCATGGACATTGGTGGACCCGATCCCTCTGACCTCAGCTTTGACCACCTTGATGAGCTGCCTCAGCCCCCACAAGACAACAATCAGGTGGCAGCTTGGTATGACACTGATTTGTAGTGGTTTGGCCATACCCTGTGTTCCAAAAAGATCATGAAAAATTAATTTGGTGTATGTTTTAGGTAGGCTATATTGCTCACACTGAAAGATGTACAACCACTTTCTTATTTTTGAAGTGGTTTGTTGCTGTGAAAGCAATGTCATCATGGTCTTTAAAGGTATATTAAGGAATCCCATGCAAACATTTGACATGGTTAAAGTTAAATTTTAAGCCAAGTAATTTATAGTTCATTGATTGCACAAAACCTAACAGCAGACAGAAATTGCTAGTCCTATAATCTTGTTAAGATGTTTATTTCACAATGATAAGTGGGTTGAAAAGATATTTGTGATGCAATGTAGCATGTGGATATATCACTAAAAATCGCACAACACTTCTGCATTCAACATGTCAATTATTGTTGCATATATGCAGTGAAACCTGTATTTTGTGTTTTGAAGAACCGACCTAAACTGAAATCGGGAAATGAAAACTTTGAGGTGTGAAGTATAGAGCCTGCACCAAACTCTTCTTTAATCTGTGTTTTGTGCCCTGCACTTGTAAGATATGTATCACAGATGGTGGTATTGTGGGTTATTGCACTGTAGTATTTTGGCTATATTCTAACATTTTGAAGGGACATACTGCCTGCATCTTTTGGGGAGTTGGCCATTCATGTCCTCCTGACCCCATATATACTATGTACTTCCTAACCCTCACTTCAGCCATGAAAATAGAGGCAGTATGTCCCTCTGAAAGATTGTTATTTAGCCACAAATCTGTAAGGTATACAACCCAGAAGATCACCATCTATATTCACATTGCCATGAAAACCTCAAATCCTATGTAAATATTCTTGAGATGTTTCTGCTGATAATGACTTGGCCATATGAATGTATGTTATATTTATTTTATGTGACAGAAAATTAATGAGATAGTGAGTGTTGGTTGTGTCCTTACAATGTAGCAGTAGAAATCATGTAATCTTTTTGTAGATGGATATGAAATAAATAATATAAATAAAATGTTGTCTTTGTATTCACCCCTACAAGGCATTGTCTGTTTTGGAAAGTAAATCAGCTTGATTGAAATTAGGGATAAGAACTTGTACACATGTTAGGAACTATAATAGTGGAATAGTTATTGCCGGTCAAGCCATCGTTGCCGCTGCAATCTCCGATTGATACAATCTTAAACGTTGCCAACGGATAACATTGTACTTTGAAGATAGTCTCTTTAGCTTTGGTATCCAGCAATTGCACCCCGTTACAATCCAATTTTCCATGGCTTTGAGAACCTCAATCATATGGAGTCGAATAACGAGAATGTTCTGTGACTTGTTATCGTTGCTCACGTGATTAAACTTATCAACCGCGGATTGATATTTAGCGTTATTGGTACATAATAATGTTCGTGTCTTTGTTTGACTTTGTATAACTTGCAGTTATATACCTATAAACTGGTTTCATTTCAAGTTCTAAGGTTTAAGCTTTTCCAGTAACTTATTTTTATTCTGTTGCAAGTATTATAAGTTCATGGTTCTACTTCATATGACTTTGGAACCGACGAACGCCATTTTCGGAAATGGTGATATGATCGGACGTTAATTGCTGATGTCTGTTTATACAACCATTTGTAAATAAATTAAGTAGTTTTCCGTGTGCGGATTTCTGAGACACTGAGCTGTATTTGGAATACCTACAGGTGAATGTCTATTATTCTTAATCTTTGTGGAAATAAGTTCGTGGAACGTTTGTTAAGTTGGGGTGTGGTGATAATGTTGATACACGGTTCTGTCAAAAATGTTGTAATATATGATTTCGAATGTAGTGTGATTGTTTAAATGGGAAAAGAAATGTAATGGATCTTTTTATGTTTTATTACTAGCATGGAGTTCTGTGTTAACAAAGTTTAGCATAATTTTCAGTGGAAGTATGAATGACAGAACTGCGATCGATTATTAAAAACGTTTTCAATATACTAATTTTCTTATAAAAGAAATAAAAAAAAACATGTTTTGCGTGTATTTTACAGACAAGAAATATAGTATGAAAACTATTACTTTCAAGTATATGATATGATTAATCGTTTTAACTGTTCAGCTTATCTGTTAATTTCAGTTGTTTGCAGTTCTGCCCCACAACAAAATGAGTTACACAATGCAGCCACAGCAAGCTAGGCCAAGTAAGTTGACCAGTGCTTCATTTTTTACAATATATTGTAGCTTGTGGATTTAGTGTTGTAGAATTGAGATTAAATATAATAGTTAATAGTATCCTAATATTTTTTCCCCATTTTTATAATTTAAATCTTCTCAGGCTATGTTGGTATAAAATATGGGGTTTGGGTACAGAGATGTTTCACCATTTTTGGTATATTGTTGTAAAGTGTGTTATGTTACTCTGAGGAAGTAACATAAGTTGCACATATTTGAAAACAAAGTGCTTTAGAAAATAATGAACCTAAAAGGAGTGGATTAAGTAGGAACAAAGTATATTGCATAATAATACATAATTTAGGGTAGAAAAATCAAGGTTTATAACATGTTGGATTATCTGGGTTGCGTCCACCCCATGAATTGAGGTGATGAAAGGATAATATAAAATAGATTCGGGAAAACAGGTAATGAGGGTATGAACTAAATTGAATTGGAACTGCCAGACAGTTGACTGTGTCCAAAGGAAATATACCCATGATAGTATGAATACTCCTTCAGAACCGTATTATGTTACAGGATTGTTAATCTTGCCAGATGGGAAACAAAATTCAGCTGTATTGTTCTTGACACATCACATCATGCATCTACAGGCCAAGTTGGTGTAGGGTAATATTTCTATCTGTGTTTGTATGGTACTCAGTTCAGTATTTTTGCTGGATTGCTTTCTATTTGCAAGTTAGTGCTGAGACAGTATGTTGCAATATGCCTTGGCCTCCTGTTTCCTATTCCTTATATTTTCATCTCATTCAGTTGAAAGTTAATCATTGACTTCATGGGAAGTCACACTTACCACAAATATGCTGTAATTGATAATATGTTGATTGTTTCGTTGTTTCAGTGTCTCATGGCAAATACCAGAGCCCTGGTGACCTGCCATTGGGATCTGCCAAGGAGCAGACTATTATGTGGCAACAGAATTCTTACCTGGGAGATTCTGGAATCCATTCAGGTGCCACAACACAGGCCCCATCACTCACTGGCAAAGAGGAAGATATGGAATCAGAACAGCTTATGTTTGATCTTGACCAAGGATTCACACAGGGTTTCACACAAGATCAAGTTGATGGTGAGTAACATACTTGTATGTTGTAGTTTAACCCAACTGTAGTGTTACAAACTATTCAAGAAATTCATCTTTTATAAAAAATGGAGGCCTCTGTACACAGGTTATTCAGAAATTATCATAAATCATTTGTATGGTTGTGCAATTTATTAATGTATATGTACTTGCAACACAGTAGTATAAACCAGCCCCCAAGAGAAAAAATAAAATATGGTGTAACAAATAGCCCATCTGTATACCATAAATTTTTAATTATAGTGATAACCATTGACCTAGAGAAGTATTATCAATTCAAAATGCTGGCTAACATAATTAGAGAACCAACATAAGATATTTGCTAAACAGCTGGTAAGCATTCAAGGACCAAATAATACTACTTCATAAAGAGAATAGAAAGCAGTTAAGGTATTAGTTGGTAAAATTTAGTGATATAATATAAAGTTGGAAAATGAGTGAATTTCATACTTCTTAAAGACATTAACTTCAAATTATGAGAGCGACATCCTGCAAGTGTGGTTAAGTCGTAAACCACTTGTGCTAAGTGTCGCATGCCATTTAGATAGGAGAGTGGACAGGTACTTACCAAGTTAAACTCTTAACATTATCCATTTACTTTATTGACTAAACTAAGGCTTAACAATTGTTTGAAACTAAATTGTCATATTAGCACATAAAATAAAAGTGCCCCATGCTAGCTTTACCATGTATAAAAAGTGTTTACATTTAATTTAAATTTAAAGGAGATGAGGATGATACTTTTGGTAATGACATTTGTTATTGTATGTCTGTCACAATTGTTTGTTTTTGGATTAGTAACTATAATTAATAAAGACCATTTTCAGTGACTGATCAGAACATTTATGTGGGAAATCTTTATATCAATTCCAGTAACTGCAAATACAATGTGTACACTTACATTTTTGTTCAATATAATTAGTAACATAGATGTGGTTTTGTAATCAGAGATGAACCAACAGCTGAGTCAGACACGCTCACAGCGTGTCCGGGCTGCTATGTTTCCTGAAACACTGGAAGAAGGAATTGAAATACCATCAACTCAATTTGATTCTGCTCAGCCCACTGCTGTTCAGAGATTGGCTGAACCAAGCCAGATGCTGAAACATGCTGTTGTGAATCTCATCAATTACCAGGTATATAACTGGTTCATTTTGGGGGGCTAAGCCCCGTAACGTTTAACTGTGGTGATACTGTACTTGTAATCACTAAAATTATGATCATATCACTATCATGATTAGTCATCGTTACAAGTTGTTTATAAATTCTGAATAAAGTAACTTCAGATTGTCTGTTTTCTGATAATTTGGTGTTCCCCTTTCCTCCATTATGATGGATAATCATGTATCTGCTGTGTCTTGTTCTACTTGTTGGATGGATACAAGCCGTATCATCTGGTAATGTCTTCAGTGCAGTATTAACTTAAATATATATTAGAAACTTTGGTTTGGTTAACTGTGATGTAGGGAATATGTTTTCATTCCTTCAAGAAGTACTCTTCAAATAGTGTTTAAAACTTTTCTTTCAGGATGATGCTGATTTAGCCACTCGAGCTATACCAGAACTCATAAAACTTTTGAATGATGAGGATCAAGTTGTTGTGTCTCAAGCTGCCATGATGGTGCACCAACTGTCGAAGAAAGAAGCCTCCAGGCACGCCATAATGAATAGTTCTCAGATGGTTGATGCTTTGGTTCGAGCAATCTCCAGCAGTAATGACCTGGAGTCTACAAAAGCAGCTGTTGGAACTCTTCATAATTTGTCGCATCATAGACAGGGGTTGCTTGCTATATTCACGAGTGGTGGTATTATAGCATTGGTGAAACTGCTCAGGTTAGTTGAATTTTGATTATTATAAGCAGGAAATGTCCCGCTCCATAGCCGCGTGGTCTGAGGCATCATGCTTCGGACCGGCAATACGGAATGCGCGCTGGTTCAAGTCTCTGGGGAGAAATTTTCTCATGCGCTTTCAACCAGTGTATGAGACCAGTGCCAACCCAGTATCATGAGGAAATTGAGGAGCTACAATGAGTAGCGTAATCCGGTCAGGAAAACTATCAATGGCTGGGGGTTCGTCGTGCTGACCACACGTCACCCTATATCTGGTTGGATGATCGTTCACCTCTGCTTAGGCATGTGAACGTGAGGCCAGCCATCAAGCTAGTCAGCTTTGGCTCTCTGGAGCTGTTACGCCACGGATTTAATTTTTAATAAGCAGAAAATTGACTGCCTTTTATTTAAAATCTTATAAATTAGTCTTTGTCACCAATAGATTTTGACCCTGCTTTTTGGTACTGGCCCGGTGGAAATGTGGGCTTGTTGTCATCATTTCATATGGTCATATTGCCCCTCTCTTCAGGGCTGATAGAAGTAGTATTTTCGTCTAAAATGGCGGCAAAATCCCAACTTCTACACCGTTCCAGCACCTGTAAGCAGATTCCATATCAATAAAAGTTTTGCAACTTATAAGGTTTTGGGTTTTTAGCCCTATACCCATCCCCTCACCAGGTGGAGGGTTATTCCTTGTTTGCTATACATACATAATTGTTTATTCAGTATGTTTGTAAGTGTCTTCCATTACCAGAGGAATCTGTTACGAGGTTTATTTTCTTTGGAGGCATTGATGGTTTACTGTCTCAGTTTAAACAAAATAGTTGTGAAGGTATGAATTTGAATTTGGTTTTGATTTATATTCCAGCTCTCCTGTGGAATCTGTGTTGTTCTATGCAATTACTACACTCCATAACCTACTGCTTCATCAGGATGGCTCCAAAATGTCAGTTAGACTTGCCGGGGGTTTGCAGAAAATGGTGGCTCTCCTGCAACGCAATAATGTCAAGTTTCTGGCCATTGTGACAGACTGCCTGCAGATCTTAGCCTATGGAAACCAAGAGAGCAAACTGATAATTCTTGCTTCACAGGGTCCAGTAGAGCTTGTTCGCATCATGCGTTCTTATGACTATGAGAAGTTGCTCTGGACCACATCACGTGTATTGAAAGGTACACTCACACTATTTATAACACCATATTTTTTATCATAGGATTATCATGCAATTTGGGGCTATCCTATTTCCTTTAATATTTTGACTTTACGCCAAATAACATTTTGAGTGTTTCCCTGATGATTTCCTGAAAAGTACATTTCTGCCATGTTTACATTTATGATATAAATTCCCCTGACCCCATGAAACCAGTACAAACAATAAGATGCATAGAATTCCTTTTGTTATTTTATGTGTGTTGATATTGAACATTTGAGTTTAACCATCAAACAGATTTAACATGTACTTATAATTTCACTAGCGTGATTTGTTTAGCCTTGGTTAAACGTATGTTTGTGACTTTGTCACATTGTAATGCTTTTAATATAATTTGGCTTCAGTTCTGTCCGTCTGCTCAAGCAACAAGCCAGCTATTGTGGAAGCTGGAGGAATGCAGGCGCTGGCCATGCACCTTGGTCATCCAAGTCAACGTTTAGTTCAGAATTGTCTGTGGACTCTGAGGAACCTCTCAGATGCTGGAACAAAAGTGGTGAGATGAACATTATTGCTGAAATTCTGTTTCTGTAGTTAGCAGTTTTTTGTTTGATATTCGTGAAACTTATAGTGTAACTAAATCTTGTCTTAATGTAAGGGTGGCCATACATAACTATGAGTTACCAGAAGGCTTGCGTGTGTGGTGAATTTTGCCAGAAGGTTTGGCCAAAAATCGAGCCTCTGATAAGTCTGCAGTCACTTGATTGATTACCTGGAGGTTTACATGGATGTTTAAAAGTCGTAACGTTTGTGGGCAGAGACGGGGGTAGAGACAAGGCTTGTATCATTTGGTCATCTCAATCATTCGGCACAGCCGTTTGTGTCAGTGTGCATATTGCTAAAGAACTTGGTAATTTACCACCTATGATGGCTACCTTCTGCCAGAAAGTAATTAATGACAATTTTTGAAGCCAAATGTGGAACTCTGAACAAAAGATCAAGAAGAGTGACTGAACAGGAGGAAATATATATTTGCAACACAGAATGCCATACTCACAGCCATCAGTAGATTCGTCACAAGAGCAAACCTGGACAACCTTGACAGGAACTTACTTTCAGTGTTTTACACTGAATGAATGAATACCTTCCAGCACCCACATGTAACACTGCCTTGCACAGCAAATATTCAGTAATAATTTTTTTCTAATATAATTGCAGATATCTGAATAAATGTTTATAACTTGCCTTGCACTATTCTTTTTGAAAAATTTTCTAAATGGTTGTGAGTGTTTCTTGAATAACTTTCTCTAGTGATTGTGCTGAAATTGCCACCGAGAACTTTAAATCCTCATAGTTCCTTCCAGTGGCGAGAAATTTCAGGGTAGTGCACAGCCGTCCGTGCGGAGAAATTGTTCTCTTTACGGTATCTTCCTTCCCGATAACTGGAGAAACAAAGTTTAAAAGCTCCACGTATGTGTCCTCATCCATTCGCAGGTCGATATGCTAGTCTGTGGATTCTTACCGAATTTCATTCAACAAATTTATGTGAGAATATTTTGGTCTGTCTAGCCAACATTTGACCCACTTAGAACATTTTAGTTTTCTTCTCTTTTTCGACATTAAATTAACAGCAAGACCGATTAAAATTACATAGTCGTCGCTGAACGTATTGTAGCATCAACTGAAGAATAAAAGACTGAGGACAAAACTGTGACAAAGTTTGTATGTGTGTGGGCTGTCAGAGGTTTGAGGCTTATCTTCCGACTTTAATCTTGGAAGGCAGGCCTTGCAGTGAGTCATAGCATGTATGGTTACCCTAAAAGTTGGAAGAGGCATTTCCTCAGAATGGATATGTACTACCATGACTTCATCTCCAGGGTCTCATTTGAGCAACTGTGAAGTGGGTGAAGGTGAGGTTGGCCCTTTAGAGGGTAGGAGAGCCTATTCTATAAACATGTTTTGAAACATTGATATGTATGAGTGTTGATGGAACAGGCTTTAAAAGCCTAAAATCTAAGTGGTTCGAGAAGAAGAATTTTATATTCCAGCTCTCCTGTGGAATCTGTGTTGTTCTACGCAATTACTACACTCCATAACCTACTGCTTCATCAGGATGGCTCCAAAATGTCAGTTAGACTTGCCGGGGGTACTGCAGTACACAGTTAAAATATAATCATTATATTTTAGTCACTAAATAAATCTAGAGCACAGTGTTGGGGTACTTTTTACGTGCACAATATCAAAACGCTGAATGTGATCTGTATATATTCTGTGCTGGCTAGGTTGCAGTAGTGGTACGTGACTTATCTGGAAGATACTGGTTTTTAATCTCTGATAGGGAAGTGAGATCCTGACAGAACTCTATGATTTTTATATATTATTATTTTATTTATTTTGTAATAGTGTTATTGAATGTTAAATGGTTTATAGGATGGTCTTGAAGGTCTGCTACAAAGTTTGGTCCAGCTTCTGGTATCCACTGATGTGAATGTAGTGACATGTGCTGCTGGCATCTTGTCGAACCTGACATGCAACAACCAACGCAATAAAGTGACAGTATGCCAAGTGGGTGGTGTGGATGCTCTGGTGCGTACCATCTGCAATGCTGGCGATCGTGAGGAGATAACAGAACCTGCTGTGTGTGCCCTGCGCCATTTGACATCCCGACACGTCGAATCAGAGATGGCTCAGAATGGCGTGCGTCTAAATTATGGCATGCAAGTGATTGTAAAATTGCTACAGGCTCCATCTCGATGGCCACTTGTGAAAGCAGTAATAGGCTTGATCCGAAATCTGGCTCTTTGCCCAGCAAATCATGCCCCTTTGCGTGAACATGGAGCCATCCATCACCTTGTTCGTCTTCTGACAAGAGCTTTCCACGATACACAAAAGGTATGTAAACATTTATAGTCATTCTTCTTTGAATTTTCCTATTTTGTTGGTTCACCATTCTCATACTATGTGCGTGTGGATCAGTCCATGTTTCTTCCATTTAACCAACCCTTTGTTGATTCAACACTATCCTCGCAATGTATTTTCATAAGGTCTATCTTAATATTTGTCATTTGGCAATACATGTTTTAAATGCTGTACTGTGGGGCTGCTGGCTGAACTTCACCTGTGAGGTTAACAGTTCAGCAGTACATTAGTGTGGCATATGGCAAGCTGGACTGCACATAAGCTGTGACTCATGATCTTCCAATTGGAACTTATTAACATGGTTTCTCCATGAAATTTATAGTATGCTTCATTTTTCCCCATTGAAGTTACATGTACTTCCCTTCATAACTGTTTTTACTGATTTGTTTTTTCTTCCATTTCTGAAAAGTTTTAACAATACTATCTTCTCTAGTTGTATTTCTAGTCCATATTTCATTTCTACTCTTTCCAAACCATTTATTCTTGTATCAAGTTCTTTCACATGCAGGTTTTATTCATTATAACATTAAACAAAATTGACAATAATTCGCTTACTTTTGTGTCTCCGTTATGTCTCAGACCGTGGTGACTGTCCCTTATTTGTTGTTACATAAGTTCGCTAATTAAAATGAATGTTTCTAAAGAATATCTGTGCTTCAGGCATCATTTTCTTCATTTCTGTAGTAGCACGGACATTGTATTTGACGTGTTGCATTGTTATGAAGCATATCTTAAGCACAGCTCCAAAAACATTGAACAAGATAAATTGCATGTAAGTGTGGCAGTACCAGTAATTAAAATGAAACTGTCACAGCTTTTAGAATATTTTTTGTATCAGTATGATACTCAGTGAATATACACATTTTGATCTATGCTGCATTTTATTCTTCTTCCGTTCTTTCTATGTGCGTATACAGCTACAGTTTATTTTTAATCCTCTACTATGTTTTTATTTGATATAAGTTTTTTACTGTTTCATTTCATGCCCAGTTAAACGTAATATAGGCTTAATTGAACTCTGTCTGGTTTAGTAAAGTAATGCACTAAAAACATTTTATAGGTCCAAAATGTGGATCGAATATTCTGAGTTCCGATGGCATTTAATTATCTTGGACAGCTTGTGTAGAATATTATTCTTTTTGACAGCATATACTTAGTTGCAAATTCCAGGACTTACATAGATCCTGAATGTAATGGGATTCTAGAGATCCTCAGTTGCTAGCACTGGAAGCCAGCAACCTGGGGCATATGCTGATGGAGTGAGGATGGAGGAGATAGTAGAAGGAACTGTTGGGGCTCTGCATATCCTGGCCAGGGAATCAAACAATCGGACTATCATAAGAGGACTCTTGGTTATCCCAATATTTGTGCAGGTTAGTCTGAATGAAATCGTTTTTAAGGTTATGATAATAAAGATGATCATAAGAATATTACATATTGTGTTTGGCCTTAATTGTCACTTATTTTGGTTTAGAGAGGCTCCCATATGTAGAACTGGCTTAGAGTAGTAACCTATAGTGTTACAGACTGTACAGGTAATGTTAAAATTTTTAGATAAAGAGTTATGTGAGCTGAATAACTTGACATATTTATTTCCAACTTGTATTCAGAAAGTATTGCATTTGATTTCAGTTGTTGTTTAATGAGATAGAAAATATCCAGCGAGTGGCTGCAGGAGTACTGTGTGAGTTGGCCGCTGACAAGGAAGGTGCCGAGATGATAGAGCAGGAAGGAGCCACAGCTCCATTGACAGAGTTGCTGCATTCACATAATGAAGGTGTTGGTAAGTAGTATTTTTCTCATTGTATTAGACCTCAGATGTCCTCTAATTGATGTAGTCCGAACTAGACCATGCAAATTCAACATCAGAGTCTACCATTTGGACATTAATTTTTATAACACTTCTAAGACTGAGGAGATGAGAAGTATGATATTAAAATGTGTCAAGAGTAAGACTCAAGCAGGAAGAAAATTTAAATTGGAAAAATAATATGCATTGGAATATTAATGAAATATGAGTGTGCTAAATTGATATTTTCTGCAAATTCTTTATTAGCAACATATGCAGCAGCTGTTTTATTCCGAATGTCTGAAGATAAACCGCAGGACTACAAGAAGAGGTTATCCATGGAATTAACCAATTCCCTCTTCCGTGAAGACCAGAATCTTTGGAATGGAGGTGATCTTGGGATGGGTCCAGATTTGCAGGTATGTTTCTGTTGTTATTTTTTGTTGATCCTAAACTTGGCCTCCCTGGAGTTGGTAATACCATCATGTTATTACATACTTATGTCCAGTTTGTGTTTAAAATTTGAAGATTTTCATTGAATCGTGTAGGATTGCTTTGCTTTGCCGCCGCATTTGTTCATGTCCTGTTAGGTAAGAATACGTAGGATTGTGTTTTGTCTTAGTGCCGTATTTGTTCACATTCTGTTCATCATATGGTTGCTTTCTGTGTTGTGTGGCCAGCTCAGTGCTCAAATTTGAAGGATCAGACAATGTATGAAAACTGACACACTGTACTTACAAGGATGATAGGTGCATACCATTCCGAGGGGGCTTCTGCTGCACGTACACACTTTTTTCACTATTGATGCTATTGCTGGAAGCAGACTACATGTCCCAACTACCCAGAAGACTGCAGTCTTCAGACTCACTGCTGTAAAAACTTAAAATCTTAGATACTTGGCATTTCTATATGCCATTTTCATTAGTTGAATAGGTTTCATTCACCATCTGTCCTGTCTTTTTGCAAAATTCATTGCTACGCACATGGCAGAAATGATCGGAGGCAGTGGAATGAATTTCATTGACATGTCAGGGTACATTCACAACTCTTATCTTGGTACAGCGTGATTTATCTGACAGGAATTCAGTTTTGATAGTAGTTAATCAGACCTTTAGTATTTACAGTATTAAAATCTCCATTTTATCAGTCTTCCTTATGCCATCTTTGGAATTTGCATGAGTTGTATGTAGCAGTAGCAAAATTCACATTCAGGTATTTCCTTATTGTGTTCCTATGAATTATAAACATTGAATGCCTTTAGTTAAGTGAAGCATGATTATACCATATATTTTCTTCGTGAATTAGAAATGCTGTTAAAAGGGGGGCGGGGGGGGTTATTTTTCTTTTATATTTTGGCATTGGTGGAAGTGATAATTTTTTTATCCTCTTAGACACTTAGATTACTGCCATGCACTTGTTAATTCATCTGTTCACCATGCATTTTATCACAGTAGCTGTAAGATTTGTATAATTTTTGTCTCAGCTGCATCTATAGTGTCAGTCCTCGTCCATGTTGCAGATTTGGAGGAATTATAATTAATTTATCTTTTTGTTTTATGATTTTTGAGCATGTCTTGTGTGTCTGTTGCACATTGTATTTGGTGTGGTTGTTTTTTGTTTTTTTTTGCATTGATACCCCATTGCAGGATATGCTTGGCCCTGATGGTATGTATGGACAGGGACCGCCTAGTGTACATAGCAGTCATGGCGGCAGGCCCTACCACCAGCAAGGTATGTTCAGGTGAAGGCAGTTGACCAATTGACAATCCTTCAGCATCTATCGTCCAGTAATCAGTAACAACCTTTGGTGCAGGATCTAACAGCGTGTTTTCTTAACATAGGCGTAGAAGAGGCATGAGTATACAGCTAGTGCAAGGCTGAAAGTTGAATATTTCTTTCATGTCAGCAGAACTTGCCCATGATTAACATTGTGTTGTACTGTGTGGAAAAGAGAATGTCAGAATTCTGCCAAAATATTACCAGAATTATTTATGTTCTTCATTTTAGAATCTACTTTTGTGACTGACTATAGTAGAACTGAAAAAAAGTACTTCTGATCAAAATAATACTTCACTGTCAGCTAACTCAGTGGATCATAGCGGTCCTTCTTGAGACATTAATACTCACTCAGCTAGTCAAGATATTTTGTTTTCTGAAACCTGACGATTCATTACCAGGTTCTGTCCAGGGAGTACATCTGAAGAGGAACATTCTTTCCCTGCCACTTGATGATGGAACATCCATTTTCCAAAACTGTGTTTAAAAAAATATGATAGCAGGCACCGTACTTTTAAAATAAACGTAATTTCTGTAACAACACAACATTTTCAGAAACATGTAGACCAAATTTTTCACTTTCAGAACCCAGTTTAGTCATGAATGAACAAAATGTACATATATTAAGGAAAAGTGTAGACATTTGTCTGAACATCTGATGATGTTCCATGTAGATTATAGTCTTTTGGATTGGAATTTCTATCCTCGAGATGGAGGTTATACGTACTAATGAGAGATTGGCAACTACTTTCAAGGTCATATTTCATCAAAATCCAGAAGCTCTCAATCCACAACTTTACCATTGTAGAAACTTGAAATCTCGTATGAGGTCTATTTTAAATTTCCTGGCTTGCCAACTTCATTTGGTTCATCTTCCTGACTATTATCTGCATGTTTATAATTTATTGTCCATCCTCGGATTAAGAGACCTTCTTTTATAACTATATGAAACTCCTGTAACATTCAGATAGAACTAATATTTAACACAGAGGTGTTGAGTACTTCTTTGTGCCATGAAACCACCTTAAAATTCACATGTGTGGTCAATATTTTTCACTGTACTGAAACATTTATCACTGTCCCTGTTTTTCTTGCTTGAATACGAATGTCTTCTGTGTTTTCTTTTAAAATGTTAAATCAAAAAGTGTTGTGTTGTAAAATTCATGGTTCACATAATATGCATGTCTTTTGTGTTTTTAATCATTAATTTTTAATACATTTATGTTTGTAAAAATTATAATGTAATGAGTTATAGAAAATCTACTTTATTTTTTTAAGTTAAAATGTGTATATGTTTGGTCACTCAGGAAAGAAGCATTAGTTTAAATTGTGTATATTAAATGAATTGCTCATTGCAGGTATAAGTCGTGAGTAGTCGCCACTAGTGTTAACTTCTTGAATTGTTGAAAACATTGCATGTGCCCTGTAATGAGTGTTTATAGTGAAAACATTTTATTCTGCTGGTAGTGTGGTTCAATGGCAAGAGTTTTGCAGGAAATTCAGTTTCAGGGATGACCCAAGCAGGTCGGCAATGAACGGACTGGTCCAGAATTTTACAAGCGTGTGTGCTGTGACCATCAAAATGAAGGGCATTGTTAGTAGAAAGAGAACAGTGAGATTAGTTGACAGAATTGCATGTGTAAATAAAGCAATTATGTAAAGTCCTTCCAAATCTGTAAATGTGTATCATAACAATTGACTATATCATGATTATGGACTAACAGGATCTTGACGGCCACGGTGGTCTAGCTGTGTTAGAACACTGGGGTCCCGGGTTTGATTCCCGGCAGTGCTCAGATTTACAACTTGTGTTTTCCTCCGGGGTTTCTCCGTGGCATTCCAACAATTACTCCACTTTCATCATCATCCCACAAAAAGGGGGTCACAGCAGGAGCGTTAAATGTTGCGGTCCCGATCGAACCCATGTACTGATGGGTCGTGAATCCTGCTAACCACCAATGCATACCATGCTGAATGGTGTGTACTGGACACACAAAAAAAATCAGGATCTTGAAATATGTGTGTATAGGATTCTGATGCTTCAAAACCTCAGTGATAATGACAAAGGTGTTAAAATTTAATTTTTGTTGTTTAGTTTTGTGAATGTTAATGGAAGGTCCTTCAAGAAAGTCCTACCAGTTCTCTAAGGTATGGATGTTCAGTTTGAGGAAATATGTACAGAAATAACTTACATGCAAGTGGCGAATGAAAGACAACATTTTATCTGTTGTCATCAAAATCACTGCAGTACCAGTAGTTGCTCGTTTTCATCAACTACAAATTATCTTGGAAGTTGATGGTTTACGTGTTGAACTTGTTTTTCGTTGACAATTGAAAAAAACATTCTCTCAAGTCTGCTGTGCTATTTAACCCTAAAATCATTCCTGTGCTCTAAGTATATAAGAAAATGTATACAACTGAAAACTCTCTCTCTTCGAATGTCCTTGTGTGTTAGCTTGCCTTTGTAGCTGATGGCTTTTTTTTTCTGTTGGAATCGCCATTCCTTTAGGTTATGACCAGATACCAATAGATTCCATGCAGTGTTTGGAGATTGGCTCTCATCATGGAGCTGGAGGTGGGGGAGGCTCAACATATGGGCCCATGGATGCCATGGATGTTGGCGGACCAGATTCTTCCGACCTCAACTTTGACCACCTTGATGAGCTGCCTCAGCCCCCACAAGACAACAATCAGGTGGCAGCTTGGTATGACACTGATTTGTAGTAGTTTGGCTAAATTTTGCCAGTTGTTGATGAACATTGTATGCATCATTTTGTGGCTGATTGGCTAGTCGATGAGCATGGATCTACAGAGGGGCATTTGGCCATGCTTGTAGTGTTAGAAAAAATGGAAAAATTCATAAAGAGATGTAAGTGTATGAAAGTGACACTATATTGTCCCACTAATTATGGGTACATAGATACAAGTCATAAACACTTACTCATTGATCTTCAGCTAAAATTGATGGTGTGTAAACTTGTTAGTGTGATTATTTTAATTCTTTGTTCAACATTTCCAAAGTCTGAATCATAGAAAGGAGTGATGTGAAGACAGTTGGGTGAGTCCAAAATTAAGTGCCCACCTCCTTGTATAACCATCAGTCAGGATTACTGAAAATTTGAGGATGTCACACATTCTACTTTTGTAGACTAAGATTGCTTAAAAATCTGTACAATTCCTTCTTTGTTGAGTAATAATATTGCATTATTGCATGTTTCTAAGTCAACATTCTCAGACACATGACAAAAAAATTTTAAGTAACATCTGATCCTCTTCTTTCCCCTCAAGAAACCTTTTGCTGTGTGGAGGTCAGAGTGGAATTGATCATCTGAGTTTTAAACACACGTCCTGGTATTCAGCCATTCTGTTTGTAGCAGCGTGAGGTCTGTTAGGTGAAAATGAAATCACACCTCTTGTTAACCCTTTAACTCCCGAGTTTTAACCCACTTTGCGCATGTCCCAACCCAGGTTTTTAATCACTCACTGGGATCGGTAAAAATCATGCTTCTGTAGCACAAAATTCGTGTCATTCACCCATATTGTACGTGGAATTACATTTTGTGGCTGTAACCTTCCCCCACTCTCTCTCTCTCTCTCTCTCTCTCTCTTTCTAACTCTAAAAAAAGAATGTCAGAGCAGCCTCGTCGTCGCCTTCTTCCTTTTCCTCTCGTTCTGTGTCGTCACTGCTTTCGACAATATTGTTGATAGCAAAGTCATAATAGCTGTCTTCATAAAAGGAATGTTATCATTACCTAAAACATCTAAAATCTCATCTTCAGTCGTGCTATGTTTACTACTTGAAGCCATTTTGACAGACAGCTGTCAAGAAAAATCACGATCACAAAAAAAACATCGACATCTCAAGCGCAGCAATCGATAGAATTGTCTAATGCATGTAGAACGATCGTTGTTAATTCCATCTAGTGGTAAACTATCAAAGTACGTCGCCAGAATATACTCGGGAGTGGGACACAATGCAACATTTTAATTCCGAGTCAACTCGGGGTTGGGACGGCGGAAGCCATGTTGGCCTTCCGAGTTAACTCGAGTTTGGGATGTAAAGGGTTAATAGTAAGAGTACTGATCAGTTATTGAGTGTTTTACATGTAACAGAAGTAAGTGTTCAGAAGTGGGTGGCATCAGTTAATTAACATTTTTGTCATCCATTCTTTCGTACTTTGAATTAAGCTTGAAACTGTCATGTCCTTAAATTGGTGTAGTTTAAAACTATTTTGTTTAATTTTGCATACGTCTTACACAGTCAAACCCCGGTTCACGAACGCCTCGGATCACGAACAATTCAGTTTACGAACAAATTTTCCGAACACAAAGTGTCTCGGATGACGTACTGTGTCTCGAGTTACGAACACGCAAGCCGTCAACATCGTGGAGCGATAAGCTGGGAGTATCAGCGTCGGCAGTATTCGTAGAAGAATGATCCAGCATGGGGCCAAAGAAAGACAATGATAGCAGCAAAGTGAAAAGAAAAAATACCAATATCATGATAGATGTTATGAAAGAAATCATAGTCAGACATGAAAATGGTGTTTGTATCTCTGATCTTGCTACTCAGTTTGGGATGGCAAAATCAACGATCTGTACTATTCTTAAAAATAGAGAGACATTCAAGAAAGCCGATGTTGCAAGAGGAATGACAGTTATTACTAAACAAAGATCACAGATGATTGAAGAAGTAGAGAAATTGCTGCTAATTTGGATAAATGACAATATGTTAGCTGGCAACAGTGATTCTGAGGGTATGATTTGTGAAAAAGCAACTCGATTGCATGATGACCTGGTAAAAAAATATCCTGGTACGAGTGGTGTAAAATTTTAAATAAGCAATCATCTGGGGTCCAGGAACGGATTAATCCATTTTACATTAATTCCTATGGGGAAAATAGTTTCGGTTTACGAACATTTCGATTTACCAAAGACCTTCAGGAACGAATTAATTTCGTGAACCGAGGATTGACTGTATTTCTTTGTTTGAGGTGCAGGTTGACGATTTGTTAACTGAAACCGTCATAAGTAATTTGTTATGATCTTTTACTATTTGATTATTCCTTCTTTCTTGTCTGGATGTACAGTCTTTGTGTTTACAGATTTGTTTCGTCTTCTGCAAAGTCGCAGTGATTTAATTTGGTTCACTGTCATCACCAGTTGTATTAAGAAATGACTAGTGTTTATTATGATAGGGAATGACTGAATTAATGTGCTTTGTTGATGAATGTGTGGTTGATACATAAAACATTAATTGCTGTGATGATCATTTAATAAAATTGGATGGTGTCCATTCTTTCATTGATACCTACGTCACTCTTCCTCTTTCACCTGTCATTGAACTCATCTGGTGTATTAATAAAGTCTTCTCTGGCTATCAGCTGTGTTAGACGGCGATTAATCACCGTCTAACACGGCTGATAGCCCGAGAAGACTTTATTGATGAAAGCCGCCGTGGAAGCTTCACATCGTACATCTGGCATAGTATTTCTTCCATAATGCACTGCATTGGTAGGTATTGATGATTTGTTAGGAATAGTTCGCTACATTTTATCATATGTAAATGTATTTAAGCATTTATATGCAATAGTGATTTAACAGTAGAGAGTCTAAGTGTTGTATGTTTCGGGGATACAGAGCTTTGGTGTTGAAACCACAACGTTTGATTTTGGTGGCTACCATTTTCTCCCATTTATCAATGTTAAATAAACATTTTAACTGGTGGAAAACAATCTTTCATTCCTCCACCATGATATTTTAGAATACAGGCTGTTTTTCAGTGTTCCCGACAGTCGCCCGGTATTACCATGCGACGTAACTAAACTCTGTGTGGTTGCGCAAGAAGTAGTGACATTGATATGTAGAAATTAACTGGATCCTTAGCTTTGTAATTGTAGATATGTTTCTGCAATGTATTATGTTTATATTATTCTAAAATATGGGGTCAGCTGTCGGTCAAAGAGATTACTGAATTCACTGTGAAATGTACTTTTAGGTATTGGTATATTATTGCTACCATTTCTGTAAAAGTGCTTTCCTGGTAACAGATGACTTCAGTAATAAAACAGTGCAGTTGTACTTATTTCCAGTGAGAGGGATAGAGTCTGCACTAAGTGAAAAAAACAATTTTTGTTATTGTTTTTGTGTTGCACTTGGATGTAAATCATTTTCTCCAGATGTCTCCACTTAATAACTGGACCCTGTGAATGTAAACATTTACTTTGTGTGTAACGCTGAGAAAAGAATAACAGGGTAGTGAGTGTTAGATGATCGTATCCTTACATATAGAAATAGAAATCTTAATTTATGTAATCTTTTTATAGATGGATATGAAATAAATATAATTATATTAATACAGTGTTATGATTATTTATGCCGATGCTTTGTATTTTAAAGTCTGTCTGTTGATACCCACAGTACGTTGCTTTGCCTCCAAGGCTTTTTATATATTTCAAAGCAGTTCATTATTATCTTGCTTCTCAGACTTTGAAAACAGATCAACCCACTGCTGGTTTGCTTGCTAATACCGTTGGTTATAAATTGGTTAATGTCGCTGGATTTCGAACCGATAAATCCCAGCTTTAAAAATACAACCTTTGCCCGCATTTCTCCCGAAGTCATGCCAGTATGAAACATGAAGCTTCACATCGTACATCTGGCATAGTATTTCTTCCATAATGCACTGCATTGGTAGGTATTGATGATTTGTTAGGAATAGTTCGCTACATTTTATCATATGTAAATGTATTTAAGCATTTATATGCAATAGTGATTTAACAGTAGAGAGTCTAAGTGTTGTATGTTTCGGGGATACAGAGCTTTGGTGTTGAAACCACAACGTTTGATTTTGGTGGCTACCATTTTCTCCCATTTATCAATGTTAAATAAACATTTTAACTGGTGGAAAACAATCTTTCATTCCTCCACCATGATATTTTAGAATACAGGCTGTTTTTCAGTGTTCCCGACAGTCGCCCGGTATTACCATGCGACGTAACTAAACTCTGTGTGGTTGCGCAAGAAGTAGTGACATTGATATGTAGAAATTAACTGGATCCTTAGCTTTGTAATTGTAGATATGTTTCTGCAATGTATTATGTTTATATTATTCTAAAATATGGGGTCAGCTGTCGGTCAAAGAGATTACTGAATTCACTGTGAAATGTACTTTTAGGTATTGGTATATTATTGCTACCATTTCTGTAAAAGTGCTTTCCTGGTAACAGATGACTTCAGTAATAAAACAGTGCAGTTGTACTTATTTCCAGTGAGAGGGATAGAGTCTGCACTAAGTGAAAAAAACAATTTTTGTTATTGTTTTTGTGTTGCACTTGGATGTAAATCATTTTCTCCAGATGTCTCCACTTAATAACTGGACCCTGTGAATGTAAACATTTACTTTGTGTGTAACGCTGAGAAAAGAATAACAGGGTAGTGAGTGTTAGATGATCGTATCCTTACATATAGAAATAGAAATCTTAATTTATGTAATCTTTTTATAGATGGATATGAAATAAATATAATTATATTAATACAGTGTTATGATTATTTATGCCGATGCTTTGTATTTTAAAGTCTGTCTGTTGATACCCACAGTACGTTGCTTTGCCTCCAAGGCTTTTTATATATTTCAAAGCAGTTCATTATTATCTTGCTTCTCAGACTTTGAAAACAGATCAACCCACTGCTGGTTTGCTTGCTAATACCGTTGGTTATAAATTGGTTAATGTCGCTGGATTTCGAACCGATAAATCCCAGCTTTAAAAATACAACCTTTGCCCGCATTTCTCCCGAAGTCATGCCAGTATGAAACATAACCCCAGCCTCCTTGTAATTAAACAACGTAATTAGCCGCTCCCATTAGAAATTTGCCTCTGCCTATAGATCTGGACCCTCCCATATACTGTATTCATTGTCTTGTACACGCCGGATGATCCCAACATTGTAGTTTGTTTATAAAGTAGCAACACCGAGTGTAATTTCCGGTATTCTATTCTATTTTCTTAACGTCGCCGAAGACACACGAAAGAGGCACTCACGCCCAATGCAAGAGTAAAAGTAAAATGGGCATCCCTCTAGTGTGGTTCAGACTGTCTTGCCCCAACTTGTTTCTCATCAGTCACGTGTGTAGGTGAAGTACCAGTCACTGGCCTAGACCCAGTACCATGCTGGCTTTCAACTGCCGAGGATCCAACTGTGTGCCACTTACTGTCAGTGGTCTTCGGGCAGTCATTGTAAATGTTTCGTTCGTTTTACGTGTGTTGTGAAGTGCTGCTAGCCTGGCGTGTTTGGTAAGCAGTCAAATACGTTCATGTTTTTTCTGACGAGGGTCTAGTTATTTCATAAATATAATGCGTTAGTAAAAAGCACAAAGGTTTAGAAGGCATAATAAAATATTTTTATCCAGGGAGTAAGTGGGCAACGTAAGATATTGCATAAATAGGGAAACGGCGTGTCAAATAGGTCGCGTAGTATTGTTGCAATATAAATAATGAAACAAGATGGATTGGATGGAAGAACAAATTCATGCAGGTTTTGGGCTCGGGAGTCTCTTCGAAAGAGGCCACTTTGAAAAGTATGAACTTAAGGGGGAGGGGGAGGGGGTTAAACTGGTTGGTGTAGAAAGCGGCTCAGGAACTTATCCAGCTTCGGGTTTTGGTATTAGCGGCGTTAAACCGGTTCAGTTACCGGAGAGTGGCGTCATATGAAAATGATTCTTGACTTATTTAATGATGATTGTTAACAGCATGTATTATATAACATGGGACCGTAGTAAAATTAGGATGTGAAAAGTAGCGGTCGTCGGCTATATTGTTGTGCTGTCCCGTATTATATAGCGCATGGTGGTGTTCTTTCTCATGTCTTATTTAATTTACATATGTTGTTATATTAAGATATTGCATTTTGTAATAGATTATACACATATTTTCTAAATCGGAAAGATTCTTCATCCATTATTGACTCGAATGTTCATTCATTACAGATAAAAATAAGTATATAAATCCCAGGCCAAGCATTCCTATCTAATATAAGAATATTCCCTTCAATTTGTGTTATTTATTATTTTAAAGTCAGCGTGATCACTGAAAAAGGAAATCCACTGGGTATAATTTCACCGTTCATCATTTTAGGAGATGAAACTTGCGGGTGGACTGAGGCCTCAGGCCTCCACATCACGCGTTCATTTTGCACACTCTCCAACGTGAGCATTGAAACGCCATAAACGTATTTTGTGGAATCTGACAATTGCGTTTCTTAGTTCAAAGTGCCTAGCCAATTTTAAACGTAATTGTGTCATTACGCAATAACTGCGAACTGCCTGGCGGAAGACCAGCTCTTCTGTTTTCAACATTTATGGGTATTTATTGTTTTATTTATTTGTTTATTTATAGTTTACTGTCGATGAAAAGCAAAACTAATGCGCAGTATCACTAAGAAGGTGCGCACAAGTGTGACGGACGCTGTTATCGAGTGATTCGTACTGATTCGATAGTCGATTTTGTAACGATCGAATGCGTCATTCGATAATTTTCATTTAGATTTGTATTCGAATGGCGGCAATAGATTGAAAATGTTATTTTATTAATGCTCTAATATTTTAATAACAGAAAATAGTGATAACGAATAGCTGAATCGAGTGTGACATCTGTACAGTATGTGCTTAATTATATTATAAGTTTGAGGTGACAAAAATCAAGTGCACTTCTGAGTTCTAAACCTCCAGTTTAGGCGATTATCAGTTTGTAGACAAAGGAACATTTCTGTCTTTAGTTCTGGTATGTATTGACCATCATACCTTAACCTTACTTAATTGTTAGTTGTATGAATTTTTATCGCAGTTTAAAGGAAGCTTATTGGCTGTAGGTTTGTATGATTGTTATATTCGCATCAACCACAGATAGTACAAGTGATGAAACGGAGTCGCAGGTCATTAATGTACAGTAGAATAGGGAGTACACCATGCATAGACCCTTGACTTACACGATATTGAACTTCAGGCATATCCAAGTTAGAATAGACATTACTTCAACCCTGAAGATTGAGGCAGCGTGTTAGTCCGAAACATTGGTATGCACCGACAAAATTAGGCCTGACTTTGTTTGAGGGAAGATATCGGTCTTCTTTGATCGAAAATAAAGCGGTTGGGACATAACGCTTACAACTCACCCTCATCCAGTGCTGGCTGCATGGCGTGATGCTTTGTTACGCACCAGGAACAGCATTGCATTTTTTTTTCTTTAGTGCAAGAAAGGTGCGCTGTAAACCAATGAATTCAATCGACGGTTTCAACAGGAAACGGCTGAAGTGACCCTTTGCGTAATTACCAAGACTTCGTCTTTCTCCCACTAGCTGGAAGGAAACCTAGAGCATTCGAACTTAGTGAAAAGATCTGATGTGTTCTCACGGCTTTTCGAATTATGTAGAATGGAATTATTCTGATGTAAAGCGAGTAAATTCGTTACGTTGTTTTTCAAATATCGGAACTATTCGACAGTTCATAACAAACGAATTACTCGGTTTCGGTGATATTCACTAATATTTGAATAGTTTGGGTCTCGGATGGCGTGCTGACTGCCTCAAGATATTTTTGATTATTGCTCTTGTAAATTCAACAATACTTCAATTAGGCCAAGTTAGATTCTTCCACAGTCTACCCGACCCAATTGTACTTTCATCCTCAAATTCTACGGTAATTAACCCATGCCACTGTGAAAGGTCGTTACAAGTTTTGCGCTTGGATCAACAGAACACTTTTTGTTGGCTTCCACACCTCGCCATACGTTCGTCTTTCGTCCATGGATTTGAGCAGTCGCTCTGGAGTAACCAAGAATTTCGTCTTTCCCTGCTTCTCTGTGGCTCGCTGACCCCAAAACCAGAATCCCAGTGCGTGTATGGTCAACACGCAGAGACGACGCTGTGAGTCATCAGAATAGGTCACTAAACAGTGTAACGGGACACACCGGAACACTCACTTTGTATCTGCGGAGCCACGTCCACCGTCGCCGAATCGAGGTCACGCGCATAAAACAAACAGGAAGACGTTCACCGTCATTCTGTATCCTTCATTGGTCTTCATGTTCATTTATAACAGGTACAAATGTACTATACCGCCACGGTGGTCTAGCGGTTATAACGCTGGCCTTGTAATCCTGGGGTCTCGGGTTCGATTCCAGGCGGTGCCCGAATTTATAACTTGTGTTGGGCAAGGCCGTGGTCTAGGCAACACGGAGTTTTCCTCCGGGGGCTTCCTCGGTTTCTCCGTGGCATCCCAACAATTACTCCATTCACACACAGAAGAAGGCAATGGCAAACCACTTCTGGATCATCTGCCAAGAACGTATATGAACAGGTCCCAGTCCGAGAAAAGGAAGGAAGGATCCTGTTCGTATGGACAGAACACTAAATAAATAAAACAAATGTACTACAGGTCCTGCTAATTGATCATTATTTCTTTCTCATCCTTCTTCTTGGGGATTCCCTATTTTCAGAAGTTCCATAACTGACGGTAATTGTCCCCTTCAAGCATGTGAGAAATTATTGGATTTTTGTTTTGAAAACTGAAGAAAGAAGATTACGTGGGATACTAGGACTGGAAGGAATAACATTAAAATTAATTTTAAAGGAACTAAGATGCTGAGATAGTAAAGCTACCTTGAATCAGGTCACGACAGCTTCCTTTCATAACCTTTACAATTCATTAATTCTGATGTATTGACAGCGTTGTTAAATGGACCTGAAAATCGGAGGAATTAGTTGATCAGCTGAACAAATAAGAAAGTTTAAGGTTACCAGAAAGTAATCCATGCCCGTGTAGCGTTTATCTCGATTCTTAGTTATCTCAGGCATGTGCCGGGGTAGTGTTAGCCACTCAGCTTCCTCTCGGTGAGACGACCCGTTTTCAGGTCAGATCAGAGGGTCATGTGACCACTGCAGATGCATCGTGTGTTAAACGCAAGACAAAGCCTAACTGGATTTTCTCTTCCGAACATGGAAAGAAGTTCTTCAGATTCCAGTTTTTCTCGATTGATGGAACTGCTAACTAGAGCTTTAAGCTGGGACCTTCTTTCAATTTCTGGGTTAATAGAAACTTTAACCTACTTCCAGTGCATTGCCGCTAGTTCGGGAGTGGCTGCTGCACGGATGCAGAAACAATTTCGTAGACAAATTTCTTCCTTCTGCAACCAATTGACCGCTGTGAACGAATAAAGATGCCACCTATCAGTCTCTTGTAACTTCCCTCCTCAATTTTATACGCAAAATGCGTGGATCGTTACCTCCATTTTCATACGTCTATAGAGTCTCTTATCTTAGAATTTGTTTGCAGGTGGTAAAAGTGGAAGATGTGACGTCTTCCGCCGCTACGCATTCCTGTGCATTATCGCTCTCGGACACGGAGAGAAAGTGCTGATGTCTATATTACATTATTTTAATAACCAGACAAGATGAAAGTCCCCAAAGGATCAGGATAGCAGCATCGCGTTCTTCTCTGCAGTCGGCGAAGTTGTCGTCTGCACGTCAGATTCACGGGCACAAAAAACTTCCAGGAAGTGTAGTGATGTGTGACGACCACGGACGAGAAGTGATACAGTGGACCTTAACGCCACAAAAATAAGTGATTTTCTTTCTAATGTTTGGCCACATGTGACAAGCCGTGGCAGATTTTTATTGAATTATTACAAAGTGAAACAGACAGTTTGGCGAGTGTTAAAGACTTTAATAAATGTGCAACTGAAGTGTTTGTGGTCAAAATTCTTACGCTGTTGTTTAAACTGAAATGAATCCTACGTTCGAATCCTGTGTTTCAAACTAAGCTGACAAAATGACAGTTACGATGGATCACAAGAACAAAAGAAAGACGTCGTGGGATTCAAAGGTGAGTTGCATTTCTATGTTTCACATTACATGTCTGAATTCTCTAGTATCGTGTACAATTATTTTAATTTTGTAGGATTTGAGGTTTTTTGGTGAGTACCAAGATTTCTGTCTTCTGGGTTTTTACGCTGTGTAGTCTGGTCGATGTTAACCAACGTTTCAGAGGTCATACTGCCTCCAACATCAGGGCGATGAGTATGAAGATTTCTGTCTTCTGGGTTGTTGCGCTGTGTACCATACTACACGCCGACGCCGACTTCAGCTACATAAATCTGTTGCTTTCCGTTTTTGGTTCTATAATTCAGAATACATAATACTCTGATTCTATTGCTGTTTGGTCTGTGGGGGTGCATTGGATTTCTTTGTGGCCATTTCGCCTCAGGACAATACCGCACAGCAAATTTCTGATCATTGAAGTCGTGCCACGAGATACTCTACCCGCCTTTCAATAGGAAAACGAACTTTGTGGCGATTAAGCAACACCAGACATGGTCGACTTATCTTACATGATGCATTGTTTCACAGATCACGACGACCCGCACATAGACTGACTCGCGCTGACCCTATCTGAAAAATTGAAACATCGAAGTGCTTTGTTTAGGACGGGAAAGGAAGTATTTTTCAAGATATAATCAACGAAGTTGCATCTGTTCGTAGTATTCTTAATTCTGCCCTTCCCTTCATCCCTCTCACTTGTCAGATCAAAATGTTCCCTGGAATATTTTATTACCTTTGAATAAAAGACCACTTTTCAGAACGGTGTCGGTAATCCGATTGATTTGTATAGCTTAATCTTCATCTTAATCCTCTGTGTATTTGAAATTAGACGGGTCGACTGGGTGTTCTGACGTGCCGAGTCTGAATGACACAAGATTTCCGTTTCCTTATCGAAAAGTGTGTCAAAGACCAAGTCAACTCGTCTCTCAGAAAGTAGTTAAGATATTTGTGAAAAAATGGAAATGCAACTTTAATCGACAGAACGTCGTACTTTTTTTACGCACGACTGCAGAATTCTGATTTGGAATTTAGCTTGTAATGGAGAAGATTCTTTTTATCAGTTTTTTCTTATTAACTCCTGAATATTCATATGAACAGGAACACGCTGTTAAGCATTGTACATTGTTACCTGTATGTCTACGTCGCGAAATATATAAAGACAATAAACACAAAAAGAAAGTATGTGAGAATGAAATGAAAGAAGAAAGAAGGAAAAGAAAGATATGACTGGTGAACTGTGACAGTTGAAAAGCGTGAAGCCACTCCCATAGACAGTGGCAGCGTGCCGCTGAAATAAGGTTCAAAGTTTTTCTCTGTCAACCGTCTCAGTGATCTTATTGTTTGCGGAAGAGTAGTTTATTTACCGTTAAGGGAGGGCAGGGCTGGGGCACACCAGTCGCCAGCTGGCGTCGTCAAACATACCACCGTTCGATGTTTGGTCTTACGTTTACACGTGAGCGGTAATGTGTTTCCGGAGGAATGCTCTTCTGTAGACGTCTATTTCGTATTTTAAATGTTTTCATTTCAGAAGAAAGACCTGTCCTTACAGGGACTCGGTGAGGTCAGGTTGGATCTTCCATCCCGTATCTAATTACAATTTTGGGTGATTTGAAATGAAACCATTTTGGTCGGCTTGAAATGAAATTGTAACCCGAATTCTTGCAATATTTACATGGAAAATTGTTTTGACATTAGAAGGCACACAATACATGATAAACTAACCACATGTTCATTATCTCATGTAAACAACAAGTAAAAGGTACCTGTGGCAATTTTAATCATTTTAGGCGTTATTTGGCATCGAGCTAAGATTCTCAACGTTTCGTCGCTCTTCAGTGGCGTGCATATAAGTAACGCTACAAATTATGCTCGCGTAACGACACACCAGTTAACAAAAACTGTTTTTTTAAAAAAATTAAATATAGAGAAACTATACTTTCCAGATGCAAATGCTATGTCATTGCATTTAATTCCAATAATTCCCCAACGTCAGGTGCTCTGACACGATCGACAGCCTTGGGATTCCGTTATCGATAGTGCAGGGCTAACAACTAAGAATTTAATAGCAGGAAGGGGAGAGGTAACATTGTCGAACGTTCCGGTATAGCGGTTAGCGTTTCGTCTTCGAATTTCAAAGGACCGGAGTTCGATTTCTGGCCTTACTGATTTCACAGTCGCTCCAGGGGTTAGATGCGTCTTCTATCTCCGTCCGATTCATAACTTAGTCACTGTATGTGTTGTAGATTAATCTAAAATCCAACTGACAGGTCTTAAAAGGCTTATTTTTGTTGCATCTTCTTCGTTCCTTGTTAATTAACACCCGTGTTACAACTGGTGCACGCTCTCTGTATTTATTCGTAAGTAAATCGCGATTAAAATACGCGACGTGTTGTTACGTCGCCTTATTTAAGATGCGTTGAGCGCCGCAAAAATAAATTAAAACCTGAAGGACACTGGAGTCTTTGAAGAATTATTACCACGAAACGAAGCTAATCGACGCCGATCGAACTGGCCGGAGTTCTAGCGGGAGAGCATTTGTCGACCAATCGTTTCTGTTCGATGCCCCGATTCCGTATGCAGATTCGCAATGAGCGCATCCGAAAAAAAAAGGATGCTCCAAATTAAGAGTTAAACTTTTGAATACCGTTTTAGAATTTCGTGAGTCTGTTGTTGTTGTTGTTGATCTCTCTCCCCCCCCCCCCCCCCT